GCAAGCGATCCTGCGGCGTCCCATTAAGGCGGAGGGGAGGGGAATGTCGGGTTTTAGTGGGTAGTACCGGCTCTTCTAGCCGGTGAGCCCCACATCACCACCTGGGGGATCAGGTGATATGCGTAAATGCATTTCTCGACATAAAAAAAAAAGGCCTTGTAGCTTACCATGGAACTTGATCAGTGGTGGGCAAACTTTCTTAATGGGGGTCACGAAGCTTAATAAATTCTAGACGAGGGCCAGACGTATAGAAAAAATTCATTTTGTGTAAAAGCTTTTAATAATAATATTATAAAAACATTACAACATTACACACAAATGTTACAAATTACCTTTTACCTTAAATAATAATTAATTTAACATTTATTAGAAGGCCCTGCCATGGTAGGCGTGTGAGACATATGGAATTGTTTTTGATTTTCCATAATATTTTCAAAAGCAGGTTCCAGCTGTGACAAAGTAAATTTTAGCAGTGCGAAAAGGTGTTCATCAGTCAATCGGTTCCTGATTGAGTTTTTCCGCAATTTCATGGTCGAAAAAATCTATTCGCACACATAAGACAACGCAAAAATCGTCATAATTTTCTGGGCGTGAGCAATCTTTGGAAATTCAGCTTTCGGCATAACATATTTATTTATTATTTTATTTATTTATGTAGGTGCACAATGTTATACATATTTTCAATGTAATTCAATGAGTTCATACTGGTTGTTTCTTTTTACGAAGTAGGAACACACATGTTGAATGTGCACTTGCCAGCGGTGAATTGACAATAACATGGCTTTACATGCCTCCTTATGCTATGCTTTCATATTGCTAAATAGGAAATTAGGCCTGAGTCATACATACTTTCGATTAATAAAATATATAGAGGTTATTCCAAAATGTAAAACTGCCGGTTGCCATTACCAGGTTGGGATTTACGTAGTATGTTAACCCAGATAATATTAATACATACGATATTGTCAAACTCTAGCTCCATTGTGAATTGTATTTTGGGGTTTATAAAGTTAAGACGTTCTAACACGTAACTTGTTACTTAGAAAAAATACCTCATTAACACATCGAACCTACATACGAGGACATGACGTCGTTTTAGTATAAAAGTGCGAAAGTTTAGTGAAAAATTTAGGATGGACTTAACACCGTAACACAATCAAGGTAAGGTTTTTTTAAAAAATTGAACACTATACAAAACGCACACTCCATAATTTTGATTAATAGTGCTATTATGGAGATGCCAAAATCTTGTGAACTCACTGGCAAAGACTTCAATTTGCGATGCCAAGACTAGTTTAGCAGTAATGTTTTATTAGTTAAAAGTAAATCTGAATATAGGCACAAGTCCTTGAATATATTTATTTTCGTAAAAACTTAGGTACTTCAAGTACTTATTATTAAATTAAGAAATTGGTGTAAACTTAAAATTTTTAAAGGATTACATACTCAATGGCGGCTTCTACTATCTGTTCTTTATTTTTTCATATAGAATCAAAACTCTTTATAGGACCAATACCAATATTATACTCTTGCAAAATCGAACCCACTATTAGCCGTATAATTTTCATAAGTCAACGCACTCTAACTAAATAAAGTATAATCTAATTACCCCATAAAAGGATTTGTAAGCATAGAATCAATAAAAAAAATACATGAAAGCTACTGTAGTTATTTATAAATAACGCAAAAGGTGACGCATGAATAACGTTGAGTTAGGTCAGTATTAGTAGAGACGCAATAGCTAGGACGTATTATTCAAAGATATAATATTAGCCACTAGAGTTAAGCGTACTTTCTAAATTCCCTAGTAAAATGAAAGTTGCGATTTAATAGGAATAGAGATTCTAATAAATATTACTTTTTAATTAAGTACCTAAAACCTTCGAGTCCGCCAACCCGCACTTGGCCAGCGTGGTGGACTATAGCCTGATCCCCCTCGCTTTGAAGGGAGGCCCGTGCCCAGTAGTGGGACGTTAAAAAGGGCTGAATAGGAAGTATAGCCTTGAAAATTTAGTACTCTTCATTAGGTAGATGTTTTATTAATAGAATGTAAAAAATCAAAAAACTCCTGTTAGGTAATATGACTGATAGAAATAAGTTTTCAATTAAACGATAGCGAATGCTTAATTATTTAGAATGTTCTAGAGGCTGGTAAGATGCAGTGGTGCATCGATCGCGACCTACTTTCAGGTCAAACTGCCGGTGCACCTTTAACCCCACCCTCTTGATAGGGTTGCTACTTATAGATAAATTAAATATTTTACTTATTTAATATAATACTTGACAAAGTTTCTGACTGAAATTATTAAATAGGTACTAATAAAGTTTATTAAGTATATTATTTCATCTTTGCTATAGATAAACAACGACTAAGTTACATAACGTTCATTGAATAAGAAAAAACAAGTATTTACACGAATTTGAATACAATAGTATTAAAATGATTTTACTTCAATTCTTATTTTGGTTTAAAAAATATTCGTCTATTTAAGTTTTGGGTTTACCCAAAGCTTATTTTTTAATAATAGGTATACAAAATGAAATAACAAGGCTTCTAGCATACTTCAGAGTTTAGATCTAAACTATATCATTAAAGTTCGTGGCTTGACCCGTGAAACTTAGGCGGTTGATCGCATGTTAATGAAACGACTTAGTTCAGAGGCCATGTTATGCTTTGAACGATAGCTATTGGTAACAGTAACTGTGGTGTAAAACTGTGTTAGAAGTCTTATAATGACTTATAGAAACAAAAACAATATTTGAAACGTACTTCGACAACCCTAAATTTTAAACCGCAGATTCCATTCAAGTTTTAGTTATTCAAGTTTCGTTTATAAGTTTTTCTTTCATGTTGTGAACCGTGCACCTTTTAGCCAACTCATTTACGTTTTATAACTTAAGTATTTGATTAAAAAAAATATTTGAGAAAACTGAAAGTGCTTTTTCTATAGAATTTTTGTATGAACCCCATGATTACAAATTTATCGGGACAAGAAAACGCCTGTTTGGTTTAATAATTATGAAGAATTGCTTCGCTCGGGTCCATCTCCGTGTACCTTTTATAACATTACTAGCGACTTACCCTCGTTTCGTTCGAGTTCATCCCTAAGCTTGAATATTTAGGAACGCATAAAAGACAAACGTCCAAAGGAAAATTCTTTCTTTTGCGGTATAACCACCAGTTTCATCACAATCGGATTAATGGTTTAGGAATACATAGAGGACCAACATACATTTGCACGTTCAATTTTTATATACATATTAGAAGATATACAGGCAGCACCACTTTTTAACCATTTTTATTACTAGCTTATGTTTTACCCCCTTATGACTTATCTGGCTATATGTGTGCTAAATTGCATCTAAATCTGTCCAGCTGTTTTGAAGGACTAACAAACATACACACGCATGCACTCACGCACACATATACATATACACATAAACTTTTGCATTTATAAGCGTAGTGTGATTAGGATAGGTTATATCAAAACCCAAGGCTTGTTGTTAGACTTTGGTAAAAACTTTTTTTTAAAATAAATTAAACAATAATCATTACTATAATTTTTTATTTTCTTAACAACTAGTATTACTGTGCATTATATTTAATAATAATAAAGTACACATTTTCGATTTAACATCTTATATTGTTTTTTTTATTTCTTGACTTTACAACAACGGTTTTTCACTTCAATTAATAATTAAATCTGAATATAGGTACAAGTCTTTGAATATATTTACAATCGTCATTACTCGCAATAAATAAGGTACAGATGAGACGCCATGATACTACTTAATTGTGCCCAATTGATTTTCAAGTAATTAATGGATTATTAAGTTCATCTAAAAGATAAAGTAAACATAATGAAGGAAGAGCAATAAAAATTTAATAGCTGGTAAAATAGTTCAAATTAATTCAATTATTTGTTCTTCTAAAAGAAATCGATTAATATATTTATTAAAAAAATATATTAAGTAAGAAACATAAAAGTAGTACCATGGCGTTTCATTAGAAACAAGGAAAATTTATTTCAATTATATGTCAATAGATGGCGTGGTAGTACAAACACACTTCCGTTAGTTCTTAAAGAAACCACTAGATAGACCTAATATCGAACAATACTAAGCGGTCCAATATAGATTACGCTCATGTTAAGTTGAAAACTACTTAGAAAAATAAAACGAAAATATACACGCATCCTAAACCACAAAAGCTAAAATATATTTTTTATTTACAAACTAAATATAATAAAAGTCGCATTTAGTTAAATATTATTTTATATTATATACAGAAAAAACACAAATGACTGAAATATTTGAATATATATTTAACAAGTACAGAACTTCAGCCATAAACTCAAGTTTTCAAATAATTTATCTTACATATAAAGCTTTATTTTCAGACATTATAGACAATATCAACAAAATAAATACATACATATTAATACCATGGGGTCTCATCACGAACAAAGAAAAGTTAGTTCAAATAAATGTCCATAGATGACGTTACATGTATCGATTTGTTATTAAAGTTGTGTTAAATTAACAAAAGTTAAAAAAATAGATCCCAAAAATGTGTTTTAATTGTTTTAAAAAATATTCTGAATGAAGTAAATGAAATTTGCGTAATTTTACTGATTATTATTAAAATATCTGCAATCAGATGATGGGTTGTAGTGTATATTCACAGATAGCGTTTTACCAAACAAAAATAGCCCGAATTAGCGCTATCAAATTTCTTTGTATGTGATGAGACATCTATACTAGTATAGTATGTGATCTGTGTTAATACATAATCGAAGTAAAATCTGTATGACATTTTCATTTTTATTTAAACCAAAGAGAAACTAAAATTAAATAATAATGAAAATTTTAAATATTGTGATTATAATTACAAAAGATAAACTTCTTTTATACAACAGTAAAATAAAGTCTCCCATAGATGTATTTCTTTTCCATATTTATCGTGAATGGCCGTATTTTTTAAATTTACCGTATTGCTAATACCGATGTCTATTTGGATACATATTATTCTGTACATTAGGGTTATTTTGTTGTACCGGATATCCTTGGGTAATGCTGCCAGGTTTTGTTGACTGAAAATTATAAAAAAAAAATATAAGTCAATATATTAAATATTTCCTCAATAATAATAATCTTTAAAAATAAAATCGATACCTTAATTGGCAAACCAGCCAACTCCACATTTACCACAACATTAAAAAATATTTTTGCGTCAGATTGTACGCAACATAATTCAGCAGGATTTTACATGATGAATCAAAAATAACAGCTTACGATATTATCTACCGACGATATTTTAGATTTTTTGATAAGTAGCGTACAAAAAATATTATAAAGTTTTAACTTGTGTCTCCTGAAAAAATTGCTTATATGGAGTTAGCTGGTTTGCCAACTAAGGTATCGAAATGTAGAATTACATCTTAGATAACTAAGGGACATCGTCACTTATTAGAAAGCTACTTAGTGAATATATTTTCCTTACTGGGTTATTTTCACTCCAATTTTCGACTAGCCGAATGTTACATAAATAATAAATTAACACTAAATACAAATTGTTTCATTCGTTTTATCATAACGTACGTCTTCCTCTTTTGCATGGAAAGAGTATGATTTTCATATTGTACAAATTCTCATATCATTCATTATAAGCATAGACGATTAATCGATTTTATAGATTTTTGGACATTGCAAGTTAAAGTTTCAAATTATTGTCTACATGACAATTTAATGTATAGTACAACTTTACAAAGTAATACTCCAGTCCAGTCAAATAAGGTCTGAAAACAAAATTTTGGCACTCAACTTTGCATTTTTGATATAATGTAGTTTTAATGATACAAAAACAATGTGCGAAGGTTTTAGTGTCCGCAACCCCTTTTTTTTTTTTTTTTTTAACGTTGGGAAATGCATTTACGCACGAAGTGTGGGACTCACCGGCGAAGCCAGTACTACCCACTAAAACCCAACAAAACCTTCCCCCGTCTTAATGGGGCGTCGCAGGATCGCTTACGCATTCAACTACGACGCCCCGACGGCAGGTCTGCCGAAGCAGACCACAACAACCATGGGGTTGCTCCACAGTCCACTCTGCTATCAGAGAAGTACCAGGAGCAACCCGCATGGTACACCGTCCTCCGAAGAAGGCCGCCTCCCACCGCCCACCATAACGGGCCACCTCCCTGTGCGTTTCTTGGCTTCGCGGGTACACTACTGAGCCCCCCACCACGACAAGGTGAACGCACGTTGGGGGGGAGTGTCCGCAACCCCTGGCAAGGGTTGAAAAAAAAACCTGTCAAAAGTGTTTTTTCGCAATTATTCGAAAACGGTCAAAATTAGACAAAAATGTTTTAATAAAAATGTGTAGAGCTTAAAGTTAATAAAATAAATAATTTATACTTTTAATAATACTATATTACTAATACTAAGATTTAACTAAAAATAAAATTATTTTGAGATTGTTTTCATCAATAATTAATATTAATAAAATTTTAAATTTCTAAGTTATTTTTACGATATATTTTTTCCAATTAAATCTTGTTATATTGGGAGTTTCTAAATGGAACTCTCTTTTAGGATTTTGTTGCGAAGTAAGATTGCAGTGGCAGATTAGTGCCATTTTGGTTTCCCATTGAGTTCCCATGATAGTTTAATTAAAATGTCAGATAATCGCGTAAATCCAAGAACGTTTGAGTTTAGTTAGAACGAATATTTGAGTTGAGCTACTTTTGCACTGAAGCGTACCTGCATGTTCGAATGCTGAGGCGCGGGGTGTATGGCGAGGTGTCGGCTGGAGGGGGGAGGCTGTGCGTACACCACGCCGCTGCTGACCGACGGGTGGTGAGCCTCGCTGAGCCCGATAAGAACTTGCGGCTGGAGGTCACGTTATATTGGTGAATATGACGATTTAAGTGACATTTTTGGGGTTACATTTTTTGTTCTTTCAATTTTTATATTACTAGCACCTCTCGCTCGGGTTCGTCCCTAGTTACGTTTTAACGAGTATAGATTTCTCAGAGATGAGATATTTTCCCGCAGTAAAAAGTACCCTATATATTGATTCGGATTACTAGCTATCATCATACCAAATTTCACTATAATCTGTCCAGTGGTTCTCTCGTGATGTTCCCAGACAGACAGACAAAAATTCTAAAAACTATAGATTCAACCTCTGTACCGATAATAATATTTCAATAAGATTTTTCAAAAAATATATGTGGTTCGGCTCAGTTTGAACTTTATTATATCTAATATCCTTATCTTTATATTGATAAAAACTACATTCGTAGACAAATCTTCGTTCAACCTTCATATTAGTTTCGGAAATTTCCGATGAAATAAAAAACTAAGCTATACCTTAGGTTAAATAAACGTTTTACAGTTTCAGAGAGAACAAATATTTGGTTCGAGAATAAAAATATCTATAACATTTATAACATCAAAATACCGTATTCATTGTTAACAATTTCAAAAAAGAATAAGAACTCAATTCGAGTGTACTGTTTGCGTGTTACACGATATCTTCGGTAATTGACAACCGATTTTAATAAGTCTTTTTGATGAAAAATCTTACTTTAAGGATTTTTTTAAACGGTTATACCTTTCGAATAGTACTATCACATATTAATCATGGCAGTAATCATGATAATCATATGATCATAAAGTGATTTTGGTGTCTACGTGCCTTTTTAGCTATAAGTATTTACCTGAGCTTCCTTTTTAGGCTCAGCATGTTGTTGACCGTCGCGATTCTTGAGCATATCCAAGTACATAGGCTGCGCGGGGGCATACATCAGATTTGTATGATGGGGTTGGTGGGGCGTGTGGGGGGTGTGTGGGGTGTGGGCGTGGGGGGTGTGGGCGTGGTGGGCGTAGAGGAGGGGTGGAGGACGTTCGGTAACCACTCCCACTACCCCAGAAGTGGGCATCGCGTAGTATCCGCTCGAAGATACGCCGGAACCGCTTGAACCGTACTGCGACGGTGTGTGCTCTGCGTTCAAAGATGTACTTATTTTTTTGGCTGTCATTTGTGTTGTTTAACTTTTTAGGTTATTTAGACTGCTATATTTTTTTTAATTAGAATTATTTTTCATTAATGCAAAATCAATACAATCGCAAAATACAGATGGTAATTCCAATGCCAGACTGACACAAACAACTGTAAGGCCAATTTGATTTTATTTTAACCGACTTCATAAAATAAGTAAAAAACTCAATTCGGTTATAAGTTTTTTTTGTGTGTGTTACGCTATATCTTATTGTAAATCCATTTTCATAATTCTTTTTTTAATGAACACTTAAGGGTAGTACGGTATAAATTTCCAAAAAAGTTCAACCGCTAATGGCGGAGTGATTAAATTTAAGCGATTTTGAAGGCGACGTTTTTAATTTCTTTTTAATGAATAAAAAGGTATTGAACCAAGTATTTAGTAAGCAGTTTAAAACAACAGCAAATACGTTGTTTAAGTTCAACAATGTTCAACAAATAAGTTGTTTGAATTTAAATTGACACCAAACACATGTTTATTTATGTTAGTTTTGTTAAAAAAGTATTGAAAGTTAAATAAAAATATGTTAGAATAGGCCTCGACGACATTAAGATAGATGATACATAACGAATTAGACAAATCAATGTTCTACCAGTACAATAATTTTTATCGTTAAGAAAACTAAAAATATATGAAGGGTACGGGCAAAGAACCGGGAATATCACATTTTTTTTTGTATTTTGTTTTGTACAAATAATGAATCTATGTCTATGGTACTTGCATTCCCAACCACTGGTTTTTACAAATACTCAACGGATGTCGCTAAATATACGTTTTTATCTATGCCCAAAGCAAAAAAAAAACTGCGAATGTCCATGAAACACCGTTAAAAAAGGCGGATTGTCCAAAAATCTACATAGTAAAAAGGTACCACGTACTTTGATCTGAATAAAAATATTATGACTTCTAAACTTTAAATTGCCTTTTTTCTCATAATCTATTCATTAGGACATTCCCTATACTTTGCCTGTACCCTTCATATACGTATGACATATCTATGTGCTAGCTTTCACATACTTTAGATTTGTGTTAACGATATTGGAATGAAAATGTTAACTTTTTAAGGAACTAGTTAGAACAGAAAGAAAAAAAATGTGCTAAAAGTGAGATGAACATAAAACTATCAACAAGCGACAAAGGAAAAGACGAAAGACAACATAAATTAGTTTGTTATGAAAAGGGAAAGAGTGACGAAACGTTTAAGCAACTTATTCTATATCTCCATTACACTAGATTCATTTTTATTTATTGTTTTAATAATTGACTACAATTCATCGCTTTAATGTTTATTGTTAATTTAGTCAATTAAGATATTAATCCGTCCACGGCCGCGAAAACGCCGGCGTGTCAGTTAACAATAGATTTCTTAGAATTTTAGTTAATTTCTTTGAAATTTACCTAGAGGTGTTAAACTAGATATTGAAATTTGTATTACAACAGTATAATTTTTTTTAAATGCATTTAATATTTTGTAATTTGGAAAAATCTAGAAAAAATTACTAATTATATAATTTGATGTTGCAAATTCAATGGCATTTTGCATGCGTGTTGCAAACAAATACAGTAAAATGTAAAGAAATAGTTCCACATGCTTTACATAAAGTGGGGACCACGTTACATGGACTAAATTGAAAAAGACCGCAAACACAAGTTACTATTAACGAGATATAGAATAAGATAAATTAAAAAGAAAATAACAAAGATGTATTGCGTGCAAATGTACAAGCGACAATGACGACACCTAGCGTGAATAAAACTCACTGTTCCAAAGAACTGCGCGCGCCATTTGGCGGCCCATCCGACCATCCTCTACTTCTGTAAAAGATTTAAATACCAAAAACATATACGTCATAATAATTTTATATATTTCTTGTCATCTTTCTTATATTATCCACTAAAGGAAAAGATTGATTTAAAAAAATGGTATAGTCGATATGTTACCTATACCATAATTCACTATGAAAAAAAGAATAACTATAGCTATTATTATCAACTAGCAATTCATCCTCACTTTGTTCAGGTTCATCCCTACTGAACTTGGGGGTGAAAGTTTGCATGGGGAATCAACATAGGGACGAACCCGAGCGAAGCGAGGTTGAGTCGCTAATAAATTATAAATGTGATAAATATCTAATATTTTTTGAGCATACAGTCACTATTAACAATAAAGTACACAATTGTGACTTAATAGTCAATTATTATGAAAATGAGCACAGTATATAAGAAAAAACATCGACACAACTATCCTGGAATAGTATGAGTTCAGTAAAATTATAAATAACTTACTATAATTTTAAATTAAAATATCTTTTCGTTTTTTATTGTGGAATATTTTCATATTTGAGTCTCTCCCGTGAGAATGATTGTTGTAAAGCATTTGAAACGTCAGAAACCAAAAAGCAAACTAAATTCACCAAATAAAACCGATAAGATATTTTTAAAATGTCACATATTCGCATAAATCTAAGAAAGTATTATGACTTACTATGATCAGAATAAACAGCTTGATGTTTCATAGGCGGTTGATGAATCCTGTGTGCGTACAGAGCGTATGTGGGGGATGGACTTCTCTGTCTTTTCACACTGGACTGTATCGGCCGGACCAGACTCTGCTGTTGCGGAAACAACATGTAGTTTGAGTGCTTATTCTTGAACAAAGAGAATATATATATGAGGTGTATGCAATTATTGTAAAGCAAATTAAATTTTAAGCATATTTTAAGCATGTTTTAAGCAAGTGTTTCGCATTTTTTTAGTAAACAATATCTTTCTGTATACACCTTATATAATTTAAAACTAATGAGTGTGCATTACTTTTCTTGAATTCATTATTATTTACATTTGTTATAGCTATATGAAAATATTAACTATATGAAAATACAACATAAAATGTCTTACTTTGTTCAACATATGTGATGTGAGCGGAGGTGGTCTACCCTGGGTAGGTGGCGGTTCTCCTTGTCCAGTCGAAGTTGGCATTGCAAACATTGGAATATGAATATTGCCCATCGGCATCTTCATTGGTTGCATTTCACTGGAAATATATAATAAAATATATTACTTGACTGTATTGTAGTGAGTTAATAAGTAAAAGCTAGAAAAGATTTTTACAGATTGGGTAAATAATTTTTCCCATTTAAAAATACTTTTAATAAATACTGTTTGAGAAGATTTAACAGTGTAACAAGTAAATTTCTAGTTACAATTATTAAGTAATTCTCCCATTAATATTATAAATGTAAAAGATTGGATGTTTGTTACTCAATCACACCAGAACAGCTAAACTGATCTGAATAAAATTTGGCATAGAAATAGTTTATAGTCTGGAATAGCACATAGATTACTTTTTATCCCAGAAAAATGTATGGTTCCTATGGGATAGATTTGTTTTTGTTCTTCACTAGTGATGAACTTAAATGAAGCGAGGGTGAGTTGCTAGTAGAATATAAATTAAAATATATAAATAGGAATTAAAGCCAAAATGCACATAGAAGGAAGAACAGAAGAAATAAATAAGTTATATCATACTTTGTTTCCTTTTGTTGTTGTCGTTTCCTATTCTCATCCTCATTAAGCACTCTTTTTAATTGCATAAAGAGTTGTTGCTTCTCTTTCTCAAGATGTTTCAATTTTTGTTCCAGTTGGTCTATTTGCTCTTTTGTTTCTTCTGTTAAATTTAATAAAATTAAGCAGTATTGGATAACAAAGAAGACATAAGATTTATTATTATAAGCCAGTGTGATTACATGTTGGAGTCGCCTTAAAGAAATGGGAGGAGGGCGGAGTATGGATATATAATATATATTATATCCAGTTAGATTATTTCAATAACATACAAAGCTAAAGATGCTTTGTTGGAACATGCTAATTTCTAAATTTGCACTTTATATATCAATGATATTGAGAAATGTCATTTGTGCATAATAACAATTTTGTTTCATCACTATAAGTACAGTTTAAAGTTTTAAAGCAATTACCATATTAGTCAAAACATGGATTGTGTACCTCAAAATATCATAAAAATAAAAATATTGGGGTTAAAAGTAATAGAACACAAACATTATGTGAATACCATACTACTCTTTAAACTATTTTAGATTTAAAAGCTTACCTAAAGTCATAACATCTTGTCTTTCCCTTGCTTCACGCTCTTTTCTCAACCTTTCTTCTTCAACTTCAGCTTCATATTCTGAATAAATACATTATAAATTCAGTAAAATAAAATCACCTTAAACAAAAACAATATTTGTCATGTTTCATTAAAGTTTAAAATTTATACCTTCTTTTTTTCGTTGTCTTTCTCGTATTATATATCTTTTGAGCGCATTCCACATTTTCTGATTAGCATCATTTTGCTCTTCAGCCGTTGTGGAAGTAACTGCTGGCATTTTGTTTTTACTAAACCAAGTGAGTATTAAAAATTAATAGTTTGTTACAACATGAAAAATAATTAACTGACGAATTTTAATTCATAACAGCTTAAGTACACCTAATTCCGTAGAAATCTAATAATTATTTATTAATAATTTATTTGACATAATAATAATTACGTTTTCTAGTAATTGTCAAAGTTGTGGCACAGAGCATGTATGACACACAGGATAAAACACAGGTCACAAAGCAGTAGTAGTACAGAGTACAGAAATTTCAAACCTGAGAGAGGTAGAGTGTACAAGGATAGCTACAATATTTAATAATATTGCAATTGCTTATCATATTATAATCCTAGCTTTTCTATTAAATGATAAATTCGTTTAAACGATATTTTTGAGAGCATTTTGCAACAACAAATTCTTAATTCTTGTCATTTGTAAATTGTCAAAAATGTCAGTGTCAAACCGGAGCTCTCTACGAATGTCAATTTTTATTTGTCAATTGTCATTTGTCATCCATGGTGTCAACTGTCAATAAATATCTAAAATATGGGAATAGATAAGTCTTAAAAATAAACATAATTGTAGTGACAGAAATACAGTGATCCGAAATTATATTTACTTAAGTAAACGATTTCTTATTGCGTTAGTATAACAATATTAAAGTAGGTCAAAGATAAAGTTACTTGTCACTTTTAACTAAACATGGACGGACCTTCAAGACCCAGAAAAAAGCTTAAAGCTGTAAGTAAACATTTATATTATTAAGAATAGTTTATAAACATTCAAATGTCCGTTTATATTACAGTTTTTTTAGAATTGTTTACAAAAATAGAATGACCAAATAATATATATTCTCTAGATATCGGCATTTCCTGTGTAAAGTAGTTAAGTAATGTATATTTGTTCTTCTCACCTATTCCCATAGAATATAACATGTTTATATTTTATCTCAAATCAAATATTGATGTAAGTATATGGTTGATGATAAAAACTGTTGTTTATAAGCAAATTTATTCATGTGTAAAAAATCTATTTTTAATTCTCACTTGATGCATATTTTGAGACTTGAGCTTTTCAAGTTTTTTATGTCATTAGATATCAATGGTAATAGCAATCTTGTATAATATGATATTTTTTTTAAATTATCAGTTCAGAGAAGTAGTTAATATAATTTACACATTAAAAATGATCTCAATGAAATCTAGCACATATGAAGTTATTAATCTTAATTGACAAGTCTGAAGAGAGACATAATGTACCTAAAGTATGCATATTAACAATGATAAGCTGCAATAGAAGCTGCAAGCATTAATACATAATATGTACATAAAATAATATTCTATAATATGTAATTTATCACCTCCAGGTAAATTTCTAAGAAATTAGTTAAAATTCTAAGAAATCTATTGTTAACTGACACGCCGGCGTGTCCGCGGTCGTGGAGGGATTAATTAATAAATCAAAAGAATTGATTAATGTAGTGCAATAGAGTCATTACATATAAAAAAACTTAATGAATGCTGATGAAGTGCATAATTTAATAAAACATTAAACATATTATGGTCTATGCTGATAATGCTGATGACATGAATTTCTGCATAGGTTGAAATAATTATTATTTTAATAATATTTATTTATTAGACTACCAACAAAGTATATACTAAATACATTATAACATACACAGAAAACAAAACAGATAGAGTATAGTAGTAGTTGTGGAGAGTCTGACTTTATATAAGAACAGAGTATCGAGCAAACATTTCCGGTTAGCCAAAGTGTGAATTCCTAAACATGATAAACATTCATTATAATGAGGTTATTTTTTCGCTGGGCTAAAGTATGAGAGATCCAACATGAAACGTTTTTAATACATCCACGACCGCGGACACGCCGGCGTGCCAGTTAACAATAGACTTGTTAGAATTTTATTTAATTTCTTAGAGATTTACCTGGAGGTATCAAATTTCTCCCAATCTTTTTACGTAAACATCATAGTGGTTCCACCCAACACTATAATACTCTAGAACACTGCATAGGAACATTATATAAGGATATTAGGGTTTGTGGCCACCGAAAGTCGTTGGAAATTTCTCAAAATGATGCCCAAGTTTTCAAAAGCCTTTCGGCAGATTTCATCGATATTAACATGAAAGCGCAATTTTGTATCAAGGTAAACAGTGAGATCTCGAACTACATACATCGATAAACTCTTGTGAAACATTGCTTATTTTATAATTGCTGTATGATGTTGTTTTTAATCTATTGAAGCTCACTTCGTAGCATTTCTTACCATTTAAGCTCATCGCATTGTTATTGCACAAAATATTTAGTTTATCCAAGTCCCCAGCTTAAAGAAAATCAACATATTTTTGAGAAGTGACAGTTCAGAAAAACTTAAGATCATCTGCGAATAGGTAGTGCTCAGAATATCGGAAACAAGCACCTATGCTATTTATGAAGAAATTGAATAAAATAGGTCCAAAATGGAATCCTTGTGGAAGCCCTGACAGAACCTTAAAGGGATGAGATTCAAATCCATTAACCATTAATGTATTCTCTGTTGATAAAGTAAGACGTAAACCAATTCAACAGAACGCACCTAGTACTTTATCGAAAGCCTTACTGCAATCCGTGTAAATTACGTCAATATACTGTCGAAAAACAATTGCACGAGAAACCGCGTCCACGAAGTAAACTGTAGACGTGGATCTGTTTTTAAAAAAACCGTGTTGAAGTGGTGAAATAATTTGTCTAAGGTGCCAATTAATTATAGGGCATAAAAGTTTTTTCAAACATTTTTGCGAATATTGGTAATATAGAGATTGGTCTATACTCGTAATTATTTATTATCTCAGCATTATCATCCTTTAATTTTGGAACAATTAAGGATTTCTTCCAAAATCACGGAAGATACCCTTTGCTAATGATGTATTGAATTTTAAAAATAGAGGATACGTAATTGCAGAGCCACATTTAACAAGGAGGTGGGATATACGGAGGATAATATAGATATTTATCATATTTAGATGAAAAGAAAATAGTTCTGTGTACTTCATCTCATACTAATTATCTTTTTTATCATTTATTTATCTTCATAATTTTGACCGTACAATATATGCAATATTGTATCAAGAAACAAATTAGACTTTTAGCAAAACCCCTGTGAAATACCGTATTAGGCTACTTGTAATGTATTTCATAGAAGAGCTCAAAAGAAGTTGTTTTATTTAAATTTGGATTGGACTGCATATTTAGCCGTTCACATTAGTTAGAAAAATAATCTAGAGCTACGTCGTTAAATTGAAATGAGCGGTGCGTACCTGTTGTACTACGGGTCAGTGCATTTTATCAATCAAATTACATTCAAAGTGAACAACAACAGTATAAGGGAAATGCGAACGTTGGTGTCAGACGCCAGTGCTCTATAAAGCAGCGCGCGTGCTGCCGTGTTCTTGTAACCGGTTAATTTGCAACTACTGCTTGGCGCGAAAGTGCCGTTTTATTTACATCATTTTTTTTTTCATTAATTTAACATGAGTCTCGAGCAAAGAAACCAAAAGATCGTGGAGACTTTTGAAAAATATAAAATTGGAGAATGGGGTAACGGAACAATTCGAACGGTCAGTGAAGGTTTTATATATTATTATGATATTAATATACTTTTCTATTTTTAAATATTTCTTTAAATATAGGCTTTATATTATAAGCCACAGTTAAAATAATATAAGCAGGTGCTACTTTCACTACGTTTTATTTCCTCGAGAATATTTTAGTATCCGGTCATTAATCGATGTGAAGAAGCACTTTCATTTGAAACATTTTATTACGTATGATTAGCAATGTTTACGTCGTTTATTTGATTTTTCCTTAATATTTTTTTATTTTGGTATCTCTTAATAAATTGATAACAAGTTTTTAATCTTATTTAATATAACGAATGTAACGTAAAAAAACCTAAACTCTATCTCTAGCTATCGAATGTAAAATATTAATGAGAGAAAGAGTTTGTGAATCATTAAGTGCTAAAACAATATTTTATAATATAATATGCTTAATAGTATTTTTTTAATAGCTATGTTAATTATTATCGTGACATACTTTTTCAAAGATAACTTAAAATTACTCTCAGTGCATCATCTCCTTGAAAATAAAAACAATAAGTTATTGTACATATATATGTACATAATATCTTCCTTTGTAATTCAAATAGCTTTTTCACCGTTACTAGCAGAAACCTTTAGAAATTTTTATTTCTCTCGTTGTTTATATATACATATTGATATATCAGTTAGCCTCAAAGCGTTACAAGTACTTATTTCGACCTAATAAAAGTTAAAAAGCTGCTGAAAATTTGCTGTAGTTTGCATTCTAGATATTTTTGAGATATTCTTCTATAAAATATCCAGCTAAAAAGTCGCTATATTATATTATTTTTATGAAGTATTGTCCACGATTCATGACAATGTTAGTGAAAGCCTTTGAGCTTAACCTTTGTTTAGTTTTCCCGAGGCACATTCGCTTTTAATAATGTGTTCTTATTGTTTGCAATTTTTTATTATATTTACTGTGAGAATAATAAAAAAAACTTTAAATATAATTGAGGTTAATTCAGAGCAATTTATATTTTTAGTACTTTCTTTACGTATACATAGCCTTTGTTCGTATAATATCCCAAACTATATTATATTTTAGTTACAAATTGAGTCTATTTGTGCAAGAATTCTGAAATTTTATCCATTTAGTCAAAACAGGCTAATAATATAAGTGTTAATAGTTTATTTCTTGTTGTGGAAACAATAACAAAACGGGTGCATTAAATAATAAAAAACCCATATCAGCAATGCAGCTTAGTTTTTTCTTATTAGACAACGATTAATTCATGGGCCTATGCGAATACGTTGCAAACGATTGATTTAACTATATTTTATAGCTATCAATGAATATCAAGCCCAATCAATATGATCGAGTCATAAAAATTGAACCTCCCGTGAATTTAGTCAATATTACGCTCCACAATAAATGTACCTAACCTTGCCTTTTTTCATAACAAAACTCTTTAAAAACTCTTTTTTCTATTTGAAATATATATTTTTTTCTAAAAAAAAAACAAAATAAAATATGTAACATACCTGTAACCTGTAACAGAACTGGTTTTATTCAAATGTTTATAATATTTTGAGCGTTGTTCTTGGAAAGTCCTATATGAATCATTTGGCAAATCGGCGTTATAGGTACATATAGCTTAGATCCTGGGCGGGTTCGCACAGGTTCTTTTAAGTACAGGACAATAATAATTATAATTATTTGGTTTCATTTTTGGATTATAAATAGAAATTTCTATTTTTTATGTGTTCGCTTTAATAAATTTTATTATGAAATTTAACCCTAAAGAAAAATAAAAACAAAAAAATTTTTTTCAACCGACTTCAATAAAAAAAAATACTGATTGGTAGTCTTCATTTTCTATATGACACCGAGACAATTACGAAATAATTGCGTTCGTTTGATCTCTTGCTGTATTGTTATTTGTTATTACTAAAACTTTAATTGTGCTATTAATACCTATGTAGGATATTTAAGGATTTATTCTATAAATTAGACATACACGTTAGAAACACGATTACTAGTATCGATAGAAAAAAAATCCAAAATGATCTCTAAAAAACAAAATAAACCCTTAGTACGGCGTAAATAATTCAAGGAAGTTCATCAGGTTTTTAATAATAACAAAACTTTACATTTTCAAAATGTGTATTTGTTTTAATAATACGAAGGACGTTTTTATTTTTCTATTTTTAGTGTAGACATAGTGGCAAATTAAAAAGAAAGTATTTTAAAATATACTGTAGATTTTTTACACTCGGGGGTGATTTTTTTGTCAAATTTAAATGGGACCAACTTTAAGGTATACTTTATTTATCAAATAAAAAAAGAATCATCGAAATGGGATTACACTGTAAAAAGTAATGCGTGATCACATATAAAAAAAAAACAAAATATACGTTTTGAATTTAAAACCTCGTCTTTTTCGTCGGTTAACAAAAACATTTTGTGTATCTTAGGAGGATGGCTAATACTTTACCATTATCAATCTTCTTTTTATTTGGTTCTGGTTTTTATTTTATTTACTTAGCGATTCCCCGACACGGCGACGCGACGTTCATCATCAAAAAAACTAATAGGTATTTTTAAAGAAGTTAAAAGGCCAAAAGAGACATTTTATTTATTTTTTACTTTTTAGAGTTTTTTTTTGTATTCAGGGTTACTTGATTATTTTAATTTTATTTTCATTTCTTTTTTTTTAAATTACTCGCGGACACTAATTCCAATAGATAACTCTCTTTGAGACTATTCTTATGAGTCCTAACACGCTATATCTGCTATAAGTTTCTGAGAAATTGAGCATCCCGTAGACTTTTGATGCTACAGCATCAGCTGAAGGTTAGTATGTCTTGGAAATACCACCGAAGTAACAGTAGACCAAATTTCAAATCAATCGGATCTGTAAAAGTTAGTAAAACCCTTTTGTCAAGTAGGAAATGAGCATCAAGCGCCTGAACAAATCTTCGTGAATTATAGCTAAGAACTACCTCGATCACGTCAGCTTTCAAATAAAAAAACGCATCAAAATCGGTCCATTCGTTTATAAGCTACGATGCAAGAGACAGACACACAGATACACATCATACTTTTCAAGACACTTTTTAGACATCGACAGGTACTTTTAATATATTTTTTATGTTTATGTGTGTTTGGAATCAGGGTAACATTTCTTAGAGTTTCTGCTTTGGAGTATGCCTGTATCATCCTGTAAGCAGAAAGTGTTTGTCGTACACCTTCTGGCTTCTTCGCAAAAACAAATCGGTTGATTTGTGGCACAATTTTTTTTTATGTGCGAATCATTTTAATGTTACCACTCCTTACGCTGAACGAAAACATCGTGAAGAAAACTGCAGGCCAGAAAGAACTACACATGTCTTTCAAGACATAAGAAATCAGCCAAACTTGATCCTTCTCGCATTGAAAGGATGCCCGTTCCCAGCAGTGGGACGATAAAAAAGAGCTGAGTAAAAATAGAAAATGACGTAAAAGACCAGAATAAACATGTTCTTTTTTTCTCGATGCATCGATTTATTCTCATAAGATAATAGTCAGTTGCAATAAATATCTTATTTCAAGTTATTAGATGAATATATTCAATATGTTGATAAATATCAAAATTTAAATATAAATGATCTTGTGGGTCGTCTGACACAGAGTAGGTACCAATACTATGGGTACGAAAAATCCAGTCCATAAAATAAGGTGTCGGTCATGGCAAATTTTTGTACTAATAATTTATATTGATTATTATTAATTGAATAAAATATATTGAAGTATTGGTGTGAAAGGGTTTATCACTCATCAGGATTTGTGTCAATCTTTATATATATAACTAGCGGACCCGACAGACGTAGTCCTGTCTACACGTCTTTAATTTGAAAATTTCAAACTTTTTTTAATAATTTTTTTGATGAAAATTATTATTCAAATTGTGAATCTAAACCATTCCCAGATCCCCTTGAACACACACAAAAAAATTCATCAAAATTGGTCCAGTCGTTTAGGAGGAGTTCAGTCACATACACACGCACACAAGAAATATATATATTAAGATTCTTCTGTGAGTGTGTATGTCACTGAACTTCTCTCAAACGACTGGACCGATTTTGATGACATTTTTTGTGTGTGTTCAAGGGGATCTGGGAATGGTTTAGATTCACAATTTGAATAATAATTTTCTTCAAAAAAATTATTAAAAAAAGTTTGAAATTTTCAAATTAAAGACGTGTAGACAGGACAACGTCTGTCGGGTCCGCTAGTTAAGTATGAGACTCATGAGGTTAGCTAAAATGTAAAATTGACGATTCAAAAGAGCTTGTAAAAGTCTATTTGAATAAAGTAAATAAAAGAAAAATAAAAAAAACTAGATTCCAACATTATTTCTGTCATAAAAGCATTATGGTAATTGTCTGACAAATAAAAGTAAGAAGCAGGATAAGTCCTGCCTTTCAATTGTCTTTGTTATCATGATTACGTTTGACGTTACGCTTGACGAAGTGTCTTATCAGTGCATCGCTTGTTCGTACTTATTTGCTATAAAACAGATAATGTTAGTCATCGACCTCAATCTGTTGTCCATATATTTTCTATCTAATTAATATAAACACAACAAATATTCTGTCTGAATCAGATTTTTTAAGATTTTTGTTATGTACATTGTGTTCTAATATGTTTTAAGTATGTAATTAATTTTAACGTTGTTTTATTTGTAACTAGCATTACCCGCGTCTCCGCCCGCGTTCAGATAACTAAAAACCAAATTCTTAGGTTTTACATATTCGTATACTCTTACATTGCAGTTTTTGTATTTTTCTCTTAAATGAGATATTTTCCCGCGGTAAAAAGTACCCTATATGTTGACCCGGACCAGCTATCATCATACCAAATTTCATCAAAATCTGTCCAGTGGTTTTCTCGTGATGCCGTAACAAACAGACAGACAGGCAGACAGACAAAAATTCTAAAAACTATAGATTTGGGCTCTGAATCGATAATGATGTCTATTTCAATTAGATTTTCCAAAAAATATTTAGTGTACAGATTCGACTCGGTTAGAATTTTATTATATGTACACATGTATAAATAATATGTCAGGCGGATTTATGTGTATAGGCGAGACGCATGCAAGCAGAAACTGCGTTGAGTTGCAATATTTAATATTTCCACTGATTATGTGGCTTTGTTTACGTAAACAAACTTTCTCCGCCTTTCGTGGTGCGATTCCGACATCGATAGATCTTAATTATTATTATTTTAGGACCGGGTTTTTATAATAGAATATCTATTAGTGAAACAAAATGTTCATCAATCAAATATCTTTATATATATAATTCTTCTGTGAGTGTGTATGTCACTGAACTTCTCTCAAACGACTGGACCGATTTTGATGAAATTTTTTGTGTGTGTTCAAGGGGATCTGGGAATGGTTTAGATTCACAATTTGAATAATAATTTTTATCAAAAAAATTATTAAAAAAAGTTTGAAATTTTCAAATTAAAGACGTGTAGACAGGACAACGTCTGTCGGGTCCGCTAGTATATATATTTTTTTTGTGTTATGCGTTCCGTAACATTTTTGTGTCGAGGTTTGGTTATTCAATAATGATGTTTTCTGAACAAAAGGTCAAAATAGATAAGGTTTTCGATTATATAAATACTACTTATAGCAATTTTAAAAACCCAAGCAACAATTACATACAAAATTAGAAAGGCCAAAATAAACTTGTCCCAAAAACAGATTTCTTCCAGTCAATCCACAGGTACCTGAGATATACTGTTAAGAAGCGGACCAAAATAATGCTGACAAGAAGTTAAAAAAATTAATCGTTTTATAACCATTAATTCATTAAAAATTATATAAATCAGACATTATCCACGATTACTTGCGAAGGCAGCTAGGTTTAATATTAATGGATATACTGCATACATATGTCGTCCTTGAACTATGCTTATCGTTGCAAAGCATACGTTTTTTTTATCATTCATCAACTTTCTTTGATCCGCTCGCTGCTTAGGATAAGCGTGATAGATGAAATGATAAGATAACAGGATAAAAATTGATTACAAATGCAATATTGGTCAAAAATCTATACATATAATAAAATCGTAACTAAGCCGAATCTGTACACTGGATATTTTTTTGGAAAATCTTATTGAAGTAGACTTAATTATCGATACAGAGAAAAAATTTATAGTTTTTAGAATTTTTGTCTGTCTGTCTGTTACCGCATCAAGGCAAAACCACTGGACAGATTTTTATGAAATTTTGTATGATATGAGCTTGTTATCCGGGTCAACATATAGGATACTTTTTACAGTGGAAAAATATCTTATATCTGAAAAATCTATACTAAACGTTAAAACGTAAGTGGGGACGAACCCGAGTTGAGTGAGGGCGAGTCGCTAGTATTTAATAAAAGTAAAATAGTATTTAATAAAATAAGTCTTTTAGTTATTTTTACAGAATTCTATATCAAATAAAACCCTGATATATTAGTTATCGACTATTTATTAAAACGAAGGCTAAAGCCTTGAATTACTAACTCTAGGCACATTTAAAACTTTATTAGACAAAGAAACGTGAATTGTGAATTGATCAAATAATAATTTAGGTGAACACTTAAATATAAAATATACAAATTACTAGCCTACGATGTAAATTATAACTACGTTGTAAATATTTATAGCAAATGATATTAAATTCATAAGTAGCAGGTCATGTTTGTCTACATAACCACTGGAACTTAGGTTTAAGTAGGTTCATCACCTATATAACAAAAATTTACATATATATATAATAGGTACCGTTCCGTTAAATAAATATATTATAAAAATAAAAAAACCCGACTACATAAAAGCTAACTATAAAGGTGAAAACAAGTTTACGATGGAATATATTATTATGCAGTCGGAGATATACATACGAGTATGTACATCTTGCGACAAGGATGAAAGGCTTTTAAGTATTTTTAAGTAGGAAAATTAGCGAGAATGGTTGTTAACCAATTTTATACATCCTAAACTGTTATTTAAAATGAAAAATGATGATAGAAATCTAAAAATGATTTTTACATACCTACTCAACGATACCCCACTTGACATAGTTCGTCGATTTTTAATATTTTTCTTTTTCACATTATGGAATCTTACAGCCCCCATCTTTATTTTTTTAATTAAAGAAATCCAGTGAGTGGTTTAGAAGATTTGAGGGAATAAAGAATATTATAAATAAACATACAAAGATAGGCACGAAAAACATAACCCTTTCCTTGCAGTCGGGTAATAAACCTATTATAATCTATTATGTAGAGTTACTGGGTATAAAGAATCTTATAAGAATAAGCTAACTCGAGACTTACAGGCTACATCTATAAGTTTGTATTAGGTATAGTTGTGTATCTTTGTGTTTGGCATCGTGGCGTCCAAACGGATGAACCGATTTTAATTTAGTTTTTTTTTGTTTGGAAGGTGACTTTATCGAGAGTGTTCTTATTGTATTTCAAACAAACAAAAAACAAAGAAACAAAATCTTGTCTCTTTATAATATTTGTATAGATGATAACAGCTACAGCTATAGATGTTTTTATCAACCGACTTCAAAAAGGAGGAGGTTCTCAATTCGACTGTATTTTTTTTTATGTTTGTTACCTCAGAACTCCGTCATTTATTAACCGATTTGGACAATTTTTGTGTTGTTTGAAAGTGACTTCCAGATTGATCTCATTTAAATTAAAAAAAAAGACCACCCCTAAGGGTGGAAAAATAGCTAATGATGAATTTAACCTACTTCTAATTGTCATATTGACTGGAAACTTTGCAAGTGTTCGGTATTCTTGACCTGATCTGATGGTAAGGCCAGAAGGTGGATAGGTGGAACTCTTCAACGGCTAATAGTAGATACTTTGAGTTTGGGCTTATTTTGTTTGATTTGACAAGCCTAACACGTTAAAATTCTTACTTTGCTACTACTGTCTACACTAAAAAGGGAAATATAAAAACTTTTTAACAAAAAAATAAAAACCGACTTCAAACAAAAGCACTAAAAAGTAAAAAATAACTGATTGGTAGTTTTCATTTACTATACATACCTAATCAAATATTTTCGAAGTCGGTGTGCTTTGGCTAAGTAATTAAAGCCTACATATTAAATACATACCTAATCAAATATTTTCTAAATCGGTGCCAGCCCATACAAGGCAAAGCACACCGACTTCGAAAATATTTGATTAGGTATGTATAGTGAATGAAACTACCAATCAGTTATTTTTTACTTTTTAGCGCTTTTGTTTGAAGTCGGTTTTTTTTTGTTATTATGCTTGGCATACTTTTTTTTGTTGTGTCAATTTTTAGTTTTTAAAAAAAAAAAGATAACATTGTAGCTGCGTGGTATAGTTGTTTACAACAAGTAGATGCTCTACCGGATAATAAGGAAGAGGAAACCATGCTTGCTTTTAGCCATTACTGTCTAATTTATATAAATGTAATGCATCAGTTAACCTTTGCTGAGGTCAAGTTTAATCATTTTACTATCACTTCTGGTAACTGATTGAACTGCTGCGGTACATTAACATTTTTTTCCGTACATTTTAATTGGTATGATAAAAATAACGTTTTAATTTATTATGAACGTGCCTATTGTAATATAACTTAAACAATCTCCAAACAAATCAACTGTAAATTTTCCGCGTTAAAATTTAATTGTGTGCATTTTTTATTTCGCCTTGAATTTAAGGCTAGAAAAATCTTAATAGATATCTAGAAAAATCTTTGAAATTAGACTTGTTATTTTATTTATTTAATACGAGTATATACATACTTTATATATTAAACTAGGACTACCTATAAATTTAATGTCACATTCACCGTACATCTTGAAAGGGATATTTAAATTTAAGATGAGCGGAACATACTTTAGATATACTTTAGATATTGGCATTTCTTTAAATGTAGTTAAATTGATCCTTTGCAATAAATAAGGGATACCAGCCCTTTAGCAAAGCTTCATTACAGTTGAATAAGTTTATTAATTCCACTTATAGATTGAAGAGAACAGTAACAAGCACTTGTTACTAGGTATCTATCTGAACATCATTAGTTAAACAGATACGTTTATTTGTTTCAGTGCGCCCAAGTGGCAACAAACGTGGTGGAACAAAAACACCAGGTGTCCAGAGCTAAAAGAAGTAGAGCATTAGGCAGCAGAGCGTTCAGAGGCAGCACAGTCTGGTTCACTGGTTTGAGTGGCGCTGGAAAAACCAGCATAGCGTTTGCTCTTGAAGCGTATCTTGTTTCTAAAGGTAAGTCGATTTACATCAATAAGAATAATTTTCTTCTGATCGATTTCGGCCACAGCAGTCAATCTTACCGAGACTAGCCACAAGTGTGTGCATAAACACAGGTGTAATCTCTACTCTTTTCTCTCTTAAACTCCGGTGAGACGATAATTCGACACGACCTTTGATGGCTTCACGTGGCTTCCAATGCACGGGAAATGTAACACCGCCATCTTCCTAACTCCGGGATCTTTCTGAGTTTCTCTTGTAAGGAATCCTCATCCCAGAAAACTTAGTCCTACCGACGGACCTCAAGTGTAGAATCTCCGGATATGTACCTATACGTGCTAGAAAAAGATATATAGCGATTAAAATTTAAATCAATAACGATATTGTAAATGTGAAAGTGTGTTTGTTTTTTTGTCTATCTATGTTATTACGCTACATATTATAGACGGGTTTTTTTTAATTATATAATGGTTTATTACCCAGAAACTAGAAAGTGATACGGTCTTTTTCTATCCCGATCACCAAGTAGTCTTACAGGCTACTACGCCTTTTGCTAAAACTTGCTTAGGTACAAGAAATAAATAGCAAGCATTGATTTATACGGGTTAGTTCAGTATGTTTAAGCTAGATTTGTTATTTTTTCATGAATTCATAGCGAATAAAACTCATCAAACAGATATTGTTGATTTTGAAGGCTTTTAATATGCAAATGTATGAATATACTGATGTATAATGTTGATAATATAGAAAAATATTCTATTTTATTATTCATGAAAATATTTGTATACAGTAGGTACAACAGCGCGTTCAGAGTTATTGGATTGTCTGTCAAGTCTCGAAGAATATAAAAATTCGATTATGCTCCTATATTAGAAGTTACCTTCCAGTTAGGTACGTAATTTATAGCGAACTAGCGGCTCACCCTCGCTTCGCTCGGGTTCGCCAGAAAAACGAAAACAAATCTATCTACCCCTCGGGAACCGTATATTTTCCCGGGATAAAAAGTAGCCTATGTGTGGTTCCAGACTATAATCTATCTGTGTGCGAAATTTCATCCAGATCCGTTCAGCCGTTCTAGCGTCAAAGAGTAACAAACATCCATACATACATTCTTACAAACTTTCGCGTTTACAATATTAGTAGTATAGAGAGAAAATTGGTCAGGAGGATGAATTTAGTTTTTACAAGCAGTCACAACTAGAATATCCCAAGCCAAAACAAGTTACACCATGGACCACTTTATTGCTAATTTATACTCGGCATTAGTTAGTACACAGTTTTCATTATTATTATTGTAAAGATATCTATCTGATACTATACGTATATACTTATTGTACCGTTCCTTAATCTTTTATTTGTCATTGATTAGATTTTTTTTGATATTACCTTGAGGTTTTAATAATCTTTTGTCATGTTATATCACACACTCATAAAACTGTTTTTTTCATCTAGTTCTCGAGTGCACTTTAAGATATTTAAAGTAGGTATCTTTTTATTTTAACATGACTTAGAAATTTGAGTAAAGCCTCCAATAAGATAATATTATCAGTTTATTCAACATTACTTTACAATAAAACAATTTTTATTGAAACTTGTAAATATATTGTAAGCATTACTTCAATTTTTCTAGAAATTTTCACCCCATACATTAAGTTGGAGGGTATGACCTTAGAGGAACGTCGTTAATAGCTTTAGAAATGTAACTCGGCCACTGTTTTGAATATTTATCTCATTTAAAGACCTTTCTAAAGCTACCTCTACATGCTTTCGTTCATTCATAATCTTTAACCCCAGCAACATATGTGAAGTGCCGCCCTTATATATTTTTTAATTTGACTGCAGTATAGACTGCACTATAAACTAGTATAGCGGTTCACATAGTTCACCTACTTTCTAAAGAGGTTTTAATATTTAAAGTGTTAATATAACTTAACGATAGGTACTAGTATTAAGAACTCTATTACCGGTGGTAGGACTCTGTCAAGCCTGAGGAGTCCGACTGGATGGGTACCACCCCCTTATCTATTTCTTCCGCCAAGCAACAATGATTACATTGTTGTGTTCCGGTTTGAAGGATAAGGTAACCAGCGCAACTACAGGCAAAAGGCATATCATCTTAGTCCTCAGTGAGGACTAAGATGGTGAGGACTCTTCACAGTAACAACGTACGTACGGTTCTGCATTTTTGTAACATAAAACCTAAGTGCAGGAACCGTAGGTATTATTGGCGACACGTACTACTTTCCATCAGGTGGTCTGTCTGCTCGTTTGTCACTGAACACCGTAAAAAAAACTATCAGCTGTTTTTTTTTCATCTAACTTTTAATTACAAAGAACAGCTTACCTATATATTTTGTCAATAAATTTTAATGAATTGTTCTTAATTGTAATCTGTGTACAGTCATAAACAATAGAAAGAGGTGAATGTAACTTAAGTCGAGATTTCCTTTTCACGTGCCTTGCAACTGTTACATAATAGGTATAATTATATATGAATCTATTTTGAGCGACTACACGAGTCCGACAATATGTTGATTGTGTTGAACCATTTTACTGCATAAGCGCGTTGAATTACATGAAATTTTTATAGCACCATTTAATATTACGAGTTTTTACGATGGGGATATACATTCAAGAATTGCACCTTTAAATAAAATTATTTTATTATTTCCATTTTCAGTTTTTTGTATTTGATTTAGTTTACGAGAGTCACGCGATCAATTTCGTAGTGAAAAAGCAATTTATGTACCTTCAACAAATGAAGGTTTAATAATAGCGATATTTGTGCATCAGCATTTATTTTTCAACTTAATATACTCGTAGTGAATTAATAATATTAGTATTTTAATTCTATTAGATAAAATAATATTAGTTGCATCTATTCGATATTATATTACGCTAGAAGAACATCGTCCTCTTTGCTCAAGAGAAAGTCATTGAACAAAAAGAACATCTTTCAGATTTAGCATAACAACGATACAATATAAGAATGACTCTTATATACATTGTTTTCTTGAGGTAGCAAATACACATTCTGGTTACTTTTCTCGTAGTCTTATATATGTATTGTTTTCTTGCGAATCGCTTATAACGATTTGCTTAGGTATTATTTGTTCAATTGTTTATTCTAATACATCTTCTAGGTATTTTTGTAAGATATAGATCCAATTTACAGTATAAAAATGTTCAATATAACATATACTGGTGTTTCTGACTAAACTTCGTATTGGTCTTACTTAAATTTCCTCATTACAGTAAGCACGTCAAAACAAACTATAATACATGAAAAAACTCAGTCAAAACTCTTATTAATAGAAAAACTATAAATTATACGTTAATATACGACATACTTGTTCTATTTTCTATTAGCCTATTGATTGTCAGATCTTAAGAGTGGAGTATTTCAGAGTTCGATATTAACTTGGCAAGCGTTTCGTTGCCCAAAACTCGCAAACGATCCAATGAAGAATGAAGGGATTTATGAACTATTTTTTATATTTCATAGGTATCCCAGCATACGGTCTCGATGGCGACAACATCCGCACTGGTCTCAACAAAAATTTGGGATTTACAAAGGAGGATAGAGAAGAGAATATCAGACGAGTGGCCGAAGTAGCCAAACTATTTGCGGATAGTGGGGTCGTGTGCTTGTGTAGTTTTGTTTCTCCTTTCGCAGAGGTGAGTTTAGTGAAATTTTAAAATATGTAAGATTGCTTGCTTCATTACATTCTTTATGGATACCGTCATATTATAAGAAATATATTGATCGCCGATCAATTAATCAGATGAAAAGTATTTTTCCTCTAAAGGAAATGGTAGAAGATGAAGTAACAAGTAATATTTTATTCATACTCGTCATCGATCAAAAACGTACTACATACACAAACAGCAACAAAAATATGGCCTCACCGAATAAGCGCTCATTTCAACACTTGAGCGCGCTTTTAATTTGTTTTTTTTTTTTGTGAAAACAACTTAAGCATTGCATTTAAGGTTCAATTTACATTTTTGTATATATATTTATTTCAATTAGAAAATTTACCTAAACACAATTGATGACAGTTTGAAGAGAATTTTTGCATCGGATTGTGTATATAGTACTTTTTTGATCGATGATACTCGTACAGAAACATCTAGACGAAAGTATCACAGAGATTTTATGTGGGTTAGGTCTACAGTAGAGTATCTAAAATAAAGGTAATATCTAAGCGTGGGCCTGTGACACTGGCAATTGGTTGATTTATTAGTGTAGTTATACGTTTATGATCATAATTCTAAACGATAACATGTTACGATAGCTATTTTATATTATCCAACGTTGTTTGTTAATACATACATAAGTCCAATTTATTTTGTTATTTTTATGATTTGATAAAAATAATAGTCATTAAGTCTTAATAATGGATTAAATATTGAACTTAATAAATTATATCACTCATGTGCCATTATAGTACTTTTGAGTCCTTTTTTTATTATATTATTCTGTTTAAACTTTAATTTGCAAATAAAAATAAAAAAATACAAATTTAAAAATAAAAGACTTCTTTAGCATTTTAATCTTGGATTCAAATTAAATTTAATTTACATATACATATATACCTAATCATTTTTAATTTAAGTTGTTAAGAAATTTCATATTTATAAGTTTTATTGTTCATTAAATTTTCAAAATGTATGTCTTCTCATTGATAACTATAAATGAAATGATTTATATTTATTGTTTTAGGATAGAGAGGTAGCACGTAGAATTCATACGGACTCTGATTTGCCGTTCTTCGAAGTATTCATAGATACTCCACTCGAAGTTTGCGAGCAGAGGGACACGAAAGGCCTGTACAAGAAGGCTAGAGAGGGACAGATTAAGGTAATCAAAATAATTGTTATTTAATTTGTTTTTCTTCTGTTCTTTGTTAAATAATGAATATAAATTGTAAAAGAAATTTTATTTTGTGTATAAAATAAAGGTACATGACAAGAAAATAATTATAAATTAAAAATAAAAAAAAACCCCTATGCAAATTAATTGTCATTTAACGATTACACTGGCATACGACTTAATCGAATAATCATACGCCAAAATGCCTTACATCATTTTGGAAAAGAGCTGATACTCTTACACTGCTGGACCGATATTAACCAAACGTAGCTAAGAACCACCGCTAGGAAACTAGAAAACTAGAGAACTGAAAAAAACCGCAACGAAATCGGTCCATCCGTTTGAGAGCTACGATGCCACAGACAGACACACACACACGCACAGACAGACATCGACGTCAAACTTATAACGCCCCTCTTTTTGCGTCGGGGGTTAAAAAAGATAACATAGTATGGGATGAATAGCCTCCAGGTTATTTCAATGTCAAATAAACTAATTTTATATAAATAAAAATCTGGTTTCGTATGTTCTTTTTAAGGCATTTTTATTTCGAATTGATAGTTTTGTAAATCTTTTTTGAATTTTAATTTAGAATGACTTTATTGATTGTGATACATTGTGATTTCTAAACACAAATTTCGCATGGGATATCGTCACATTTATATTTTTATTTTTATGTTTTTGCTGAGTGGAGTTTTGCACTTCGTAGTACAGTATGCCAGTTAGATCATTATTGATATAGATATAGTAGTATCTAAATGAACTACGGAGGCCGAGCCGCGTGAAAGTACTTGTCTGTACTAATATTATAAAGAGGTAAAGTTTGTGAAGTTGTATAGGGTAATCTCTAGATCTACTGAACCGATTTAGATGAAATTTTGGTAAGAAGATAGTTTAAGTCCCTGGGATAGGACATAGGATAGTTTTTATCCCGGAAATTATCTCTTAAGGGGGTGAAAATGGGCATGAAAGTTTGTATCGGGAATCAACCTAGAGTCGCCAATTGAATATAAATTTATAATTAAAAGTGGACTAAACTCCATTTAAAAGTTAACTCTTCATGAATATTATTTCCCAACAAAAAAACAACATAATTCAAAAAATTCTCACAAAAAATTTAATTTAGCTTTCACTTTTCGTTGTAGTCACCGCTACAGACAGTATAATAATATGTTAATAATAAAATGCTGATAATAAAAAAAAAACGTGAAATTGACGTTAACTTTTATCTTTTTGAAATGGTAATCGATGACAATGTTACAAATTTTCAATTAATTTTACATGGTTTAACTCATTTAACGGTCACATTACTGATTTACTAGAAGCCATTGGACATTGAGATAGAGATATATGGAGTTGGTAATATTCTTGACCATATTATTTTTTACTTAAAATTTTTGTAGTGTAGATAGATGAATGTGGTATTAAACATTTCTTTAATAAAATAAGCACAGTAAGCATTAGTCCACGCATTAGCGATGGACAGTGGATATTTTATGGTGCTCGTTGTTTCAGAAGGTATGAAATGTCCAGTCGGGATGGTACCTCCTCTGTTATTTAATTAATACAAAATAATATTAATTTTAATAAAAAACTATAATTAGTATGAAAAATTCTATTGTTGTATGAAAACTGGAACGTAATTTACTTTATAAATATGTATTTTTTTATTGTGTTTTATTAAATTATGTATTCTTTATGGCTTATTAGGTTTTTAGCAAATTGTCAAGTACCAATTAACAATTTGCAAGCCAATCAACTAATGAAAATAATGTTTCTTTGATTGTTTGATTAACCATCCAATTAGTCTACTGATTTAAATTATACAAAAATGATTTAGTATAAAAAACGTCTTATGTATGTAGTTGTGTACACTTATGTACGCATGTAAGAAGTTATACTTCTTTGGCGTAACAGAACAACAATAGCTAAAGATTTCACCCCGTATGTCACAGCTCTTTGTTTGTAATAGGAATGCAGCTAATTTCATCATGTTGCGTTCAGCTAACTTCACCATGTCGCTTTTTGCTGTCGGTGTGCATTGTGCGCGCGCATCGTAAAAATTTGACTCTCATTTTTTTCCAAAAGTGTCAAAAGAAGTATAACTTCAAAAATTTACATCAATTTTTTTAATCTTTGAATCTGAACACAACTGTCACAAAAATTGTCAACGGGATCTGTTTTTATAGATATGCAAGGCAAATCGCATAATTTCGCGTTTTACATACAGAGTCGTCCGCTTAGGAACGCTCGCTTTTATGAAATATGCCTTTGGCAAATTGGGCAACTCGTTCAATTGATGGCGTTGTGCTCACTGTTCTAACCTAAACTGACCAACCTAGAAGAAAGAAAGGTTTCTGCCAAAAAATAAAACCTGCGGTTTTTACAATTCGCCTGAGGCATTTTACAAAAGCGCAAGCGTTTGCAAACAGACGGCGCCTTTTTTAAAAGGATGAATCATACGATATGCCTGTGACAGATATATCACATATCTATGTCAACTTACAGATCGGGGAAGATAAAATTTACTAAGACTTATTTCTTGATATAATGTCAATATTTTGTTGGTCAGAATGACTATCATTATTTTATTCCTATATGTTACTCTAATCTTTATAATTCAGGTATATATTCAAAAATTCGAAATCGATAAAGAACTTTTATTACAATAAATAACAGATTAATTGTAGTTTTCAAGTAATATAAATACTTTATACCAATTAAGTCAACATATCGTCAAACCTAAAATCGTCTCCCAATTGTCATATATGTACAAGTCAGTCGGGAGCGCCTCACTCGTATCTTATCCCACACGTCATTGCCCGGTTTAGATGCTTTCGTTAAACTTAAGACAGCTGTATGATATAATAAACGGTAATAGGTACTGTGTTAATACAAAAAAAGATTTTTCGCTAATAAATAATTCAATTTAAATAGCAGAGGAAATAAAAAGTAGCATTCGTTAAGTATTTTATCATTTTATTAAAATGGTATCAAACGGGATACTAACCCGTGACCTATGCGCCTATAATAACACTACTGGAATATAGAGAACTCATAAAATTAAGCGATAAACACGGTAAATACCCCGCTTTCTCTTCAAAAAATATTGTCAGATAAAATAAGTAAAAATTGTAAAAACGTATATGGTAAATTTTGTTGGTAACGATGACTTTAAAATTGGTTACAATTACTTTAAAAATTAAATACTTATAAACTCCTAATCTTGAAATTTACACACCAAATAAAGATAATGGTTGCCAATTTTTTTTTAGTTAGGAGGACTTGATATATCTTGCTTATACCCTCTTAAAAAAAATATATTATGATTCCTGAAATAATGGGATAGCTTAGAAATCATAGTTTCAGCATAAGAAAAAATCAAACCATGTTCGTGCTTTTCGGGGGAACCATTTGAAATCTTACAATAACCAATAACTTGTTCATTAATTTTCATAGTAATTTTTATTCAAATCGGTGCAATAGTTTGGACAAAGTTCAAGAGAATGTCCATATATTTTCTTTCCCGAACAAAATCCTCCATTTTACGGGATAAAAAGACCCTTTATGTTGCTCGAGTATTCATACTATTATTGTGCATGTTAAATTCCTTAATGTGGCAGAACAGATTTATCAAAAACTTTTCTTAAATTGCTATTATGTAATCAGTATTGATAATGATAGGCGTAAAAAAAGAATTTTCCATAAAAAAATTCAACTGAAAATCTTATATTACTAACTACAATAACGTCATGTTCTTATTAACCCCCGACGCAAAAAGAGGTGTGTTATAAGTTTGACGTCGATGTCTGTCTGTCTCTGTGTGGATGTGTGTTTGTCTGTGGCATCGTAGTTCTCAAACGGATGGACCGATCTCGATGCGGTTTTTTTTCATTTGAAAGCCAGTTTCCTTGCGGTGGTTCTTAGCTATGTTTGGTTAATGTCGGTCCAGCAGTGTAAGAGTATCAGCTCTTTTCCAAAATGATGTAAGGCATTTTGGCGTATGATTACACGATTATTTTATACTTTCTGCGAGTCTTGCTATATGTATGTAGGTCTCCGACTGCATAATATTGTTTCCATTTTAAATGGGTTCTCTAATTTTGACATTTTTGATAATTGTTTTTGTGGATAGACTCATTTGATTATAACATATCAAAAACAGTTCTAGTTAAAAGTCAATAGTAAAAAACTTGATCTTTGATGATAATTTTCTTCATTATAAATAATTGATCTCTCGTTTGCATCATTGCATGTTGGTTATGGCTTTAAACGACACACTTCTTATCATGCCCAGTACTAATTTCAATGAAATTCAAAACGAAGATAAATACTACTTAGTATGCAAATAACGTTTTAAAATGTAAAAGCATATCGTACACCAGCAACATCATTGTTATTTAATGTGTTTATGTTGTTTCATATATTATTGTTTAATATTTATATTGTATAGTAGCGACTTACCTTCGCTTCGCTCGGGTGGGTCCTTAGGTGTTCTTTAATTTTTTTCAGCGGAATCCTAATTATTTTTCTAAAATAAAAGCAGCCTAAGTTACTCCTTATAAAATTAGATATCTGCCAGTGAAAGTCCTGTTAAAATCAGTCCAGCCGTTTCGAAGGTTAGCAGGAACAAACAGAAAGACAGATTTTTTACAGAAAATTTTTAATTTTAAAAATTGTGTTTTTTATAAGTACCGTATATAATTTCATATGCATTTAGTAAAAAGCTGTTATTTTAATATTACAAACAGACTATTTAATTTTATTTATTTTTATGGATTTTATTAATTATTACACTTAAAGAAATAAATAAGGGTAAGTTTGACGAGAAGTTTAAAAAATATTATTTTACAGTTTTATTCTATTTTCTAGGGATTTACGGGTATCACACAAGAGTATGAACGTCCCGAAGCTCCCGAACTCGTCATACAAACAGTTGGGCGGTCAGTGGAAGAATCTACTATGGAAGTCGTCCGTTTATTGGAATCGCAAGTATGAATAACCCACTTTGCACTTTTTATTTCCCTGGCATTGTCAAAAATACCTAGTGGAGTTAGCTACCGTGTTTGGTAATAAACATATTCTTAACTTGGTGGCCCTGAAATTTATTTTTTTGCTCAACCTCAACAAATTTGTTATATAAACAAAATAGAGCTTAATATTAAATTTCAAATTTGCTTAATTTTTTTACTCAAAAAGGTCTATTATAATTTTTTGTAGAATAAATTGCTACTTAACATGATTTTATTTGCTTTTAAAATTAAGAATTAATACTGAACTATAGATAGAGACTAAGGTTTTAGGCGTCTCAAAGGTCATTAGTCATATAGTTGTAACAGACAGCACCTACCCACAAAATTATACAATGTTTATAAAATATACCTTAACTTTAGTCTCTCCCGTGACCATGATTGCTGCAAAGCATTCGAAACTTCGGGAACCAAAAATCAAAGTAAATCCGCAAAAAATTCAGAAAAGATAGACATTATTTAAAATGTCAAATATTCGGGTACATCTAAGAAAGTGTTAATTAGTACTAAGCAACAATCAATCTCATTATAAAGTTTTTTATTCCAGGGCATTATTCCGCGTTACGCAGTAGACAGCTCGGGTGTAGAAGAACTGTTCATATACGGTAATAGACTGAGTAGCGCCATCGAGGAAGCAGCGAGATTACCACAGATTGAAATAACCAAACTAGATTTGCAATGGGTTCAAGTAAGTTTATATTAAACATCAATAAATAGAAGAAAACATCGTCCAAAACTTCCATGTGTGAGGGAAGATAGTTTTTAAAAGATATGTGAAGTCAACCGACCCACACTTGGCCAGCGTGGTGGACTATGGTCTGATCCCCCTCGTACTGAAGAGACCCATGCCCAGCAGTCTGTTCGTGCGCGTAGTTCTTCTAGTCTGTGCAAAGGATTTTGATACGCTTCTCACAGTTATTGAGAGATTTTTTTTGAGAAAGTTTATACGTACAATGCGCGCATATTAAAATTAGAATTGCTTATATTAGAAAATATTTTTTTAATTCAATCATAATTTAGGGGAAGCTTTTCCGTAGCTGACCCGTGGATCGATATTGCAATTTTTCAAATACACGGAAATATTTCCTGTTATTCTTTTTTTAAATAGAAATAATTTTATTGTTTATATTAATATAATAGCATGTTAACAGAGAATTAATTCAAAAAAGTCAATTACTAATAACATTGACACCCAAAACTAAAATAAAGTATGATATTTTTTTTATTTTAATTATAATTATTAATATACATATGTATATAACAAACATCACATAATGTTTTTAAGAACTTATACGAAAGTACGTAGTTTTTAAGTAGATCGGGCGAATATTCGCGTCCTTAAATAATACACCACTGACAAATAACCTTAATTGTAATTAATATTTTACTAATAAAGAATTAATAATATCAAAAAAGAATATTAAAATGATACTTATTTCCAACAGGTACTGTCCGAGGGTTGGGCGTTTCCACTCAAAGGTTTTATGCGAGAAATCGAATATTTGCAAGTAAGCTCTATAACATTATCCTTACAAAATTATTTATTAACGAGTTGTTAAAATTTCTTTTATAAGGCAGGAAATTAGCAAGTTCAAACTTTTGGTTCCATCTACATATTATATTAATTGTATAAAGAAAAACAATTTTGACGACACGTTTGACTCAGCTTGTAGTGCCAACGGTCGCGGGTTCGAGTCCCGCTGGGGGCATTCATTTATATTTTTTTGTGTATGTTACTTGATATCTACGTCAATTGTGTTCCTGCGATTTTTTTGAATTATCTTTGTCTCAAGAGTGGTCACATATGCATTTCAAGAAAAAAATAAACCTCTAAGGGCGAAATAAGTACTCTTAATCAGTGTACTTTATAGGGTTCCGTAGTCAAAAAGTGGTGTCCGTATATTACAATCAACTTACTAAGACTTTTCGGAGTACATATATGGCTGAAATTAGGTACATACTATCATTTCGATGTGAACTTCTAGACTTTATAGGAAAACCACGAAAAAGTAAAAATAGGATGGGGTATAAATGTAACCGAGGCATGAAAAAATGCTTAGTCTGTATAAACGTGTGAGATATTTCTGGATGTCTTTAAAATTAGTATACGTTTCAAATTAGTTACTTTTCAATTCAAGCCCATAAATAAGTTCTCAAGTTTTAAATGAAAAAATCTTTTTGGACTGAGAGACGGGAGGACTGAGAGACGGGTGTCTCTCCTGTGACCAAAATTGCTGTAAAGCATTCGAAACGTCGGGAATCAAAAATAAAAATAAATCCGCGAAATAATCCGAAAAGATAGTTTTATTTAAAATGTCATATATGTATTAGCTAAATCTAAGAAAGTTCTCAAGTTATATAGTTCTAGCACATAATTTCTTCCATCCTATCACAGGCACTCCATTCAAACTGCCTCACTCTGCCCGGGGGTGGGATAGTGAACCAATCTGTGCCAGTAGTGTTGCCAGTACACACAGTGGATAAGGAAAGGTTGGCAGGAGCTAGTGCCATAGCTCTGAACTACAATGGCAAGACTGTGGCAATACTGAGAGCCCCCGAATTCTATCCCCATAGGAAAGAAGAGAGGTGCTCGCGTCAGTTTGGGATATATAACACTGGACATCCCTATATTAAGGTAGGTTTAATTTTTTTTTAATGTTTCGTATGTCTATGAAAAACAATATACTTGAGGTGTTGTCTCGTCTGTAAAATACTGTATTCTACAAAAGTTTAACATTAGATACAAATAAAATTATTAATTTTGGGCAAACTATAAAATATCTCACTCTCTTACTAACTTTATTTTAGGTAATCAATTAACAATTTCACATTTAATTTTGTTGCAGATGATCGAAGAGTCCGGTGACTGGCTCGTAGGCGGTAACTTGGAAGTGTTCGAGCGTATACGTTGGAACGATGGCTTGGACACGTACCGTCTTACTCCCAATGAATTGAGGGAAAAGTTCAAAGAACTTAATGCTGATGCAGTTTTTGCTTTCCAGGTACGTTTTTGAAGTTGTTTTTTTTGGCACGTTTGGAAAAAAATGGAGAGTAAAATTTTTACGATGCGCGCACACACCGACAGCCAAAAAGAGACATGATGTTAGCTGAAAGCGACATAATGAAGTTAGCTGCATTCCTTTTACATACAGAGAGTTGTGACATACGGAATGAAATTTCTAGTTATTTTTGTTCTGTTACGCCGAATAAGTATAACGTCTTACGTGCGTACATAAGTACACAAACACGTTTCTTTTACTAGCTTTTGCCTGGGACTTCGCTCGTCTAGTTTATTTAGGTATAATTTATCTTATCCTAAGAATCCAAGCGTGATATTAGGAATTATATTACTAAGCATATTTTGCAAATCAGATTGTAATTCCAGAGATTAGTACATACAAAAAACAATGTTTTAATAGTTAATATTAATATACTAATAACACGAGTCTCATAATACGAGTCTCGTTGGTCTAGTGGCTTACAAGTGTGTACGCCTTTTCCCTCACCGAGAGTGTGTGGTTGTAGTCGCACCGGAGAATTGAACTTAAAGAAATAGAGACTGCACTTGTGTATTATAATATCTACCAAGAATTTAGTCAAAGTGTACTTGGCTGTCATAACCGAAATCTGTCAGGAGGACGGACATCTTCGTGACTCCCCGAAACGTGCTCTCCGCGGCACTAGGATGCAATACTGACAACTTCCCATCTCCGGGCTACTACTGAGAATAAATGTATTAACAGAAAATATCAGCATTCAAACTTGACCCGACCCGGGACTCGAACCCTGGAACTCAGCATCTGCAAACGTACCACTATACCACCAAGGTAGTTAAAAACACGCAGGACATTATTATCAGTATACTAAATATAAAATTCGGTTTCAGCTCCGTAATCCGATCCACAATGGCCACGCTCTGCTGATGCAGGACACGCAGAGACAGCTGGTAGAACGTGGATTCAAGAAACCTGTGCTTCTGTTGCATCCTCTTGGTAAGATTATATAGCTTTTGGGTAGTTTGTTTACGTATAAAGTTAGGTTTAGTATAAATAACATGTGGAGCGTGATGTAAAATTTTTGTCTTAAGGTTTAAAGGATTATTTTTAAATCGGGTTGGAAATTATCACATGGAAATAAATAAAAAAAATAAATAACCTTTTTAGATTTAATATAAAACTATCTCTTCCGATTTTTTTACGGATTTATCTTAATTTTTGTAGTAGTTAATGAATTTAAAAGGTCAAAAGAGGAATGTATTTTTTTACTTTTTAGTTTTTTTTGTGTAGAGGGCTAATAAAAGTTTTATTTCTTTTTTTAAATGATTGTTTTACCTAAATAAAAATTATTTCATTGATTTTTCCAGGTGGTTGGACTAAAGACGACGACGTGCCTCTAGAGACTCGTATAAATCAACACAAAGCAGTTCTCAATGAGGGTGTTCTGGACGCGCAGTCCACTGTTCTAGCCATTTTCCCTTCGCCCATGATGTACGCTGGACCTACTGAGGTAAGGCGTGATATTTATATTAGTATAGTATAACTACAAAAAATCCTCTTTGGCTTTTTGTTATAGTGCTTATTTAATATTTATATAATATTGTTCATACAAAAATACTAAAATCGCGATTAAAAAATGTGGGGTGGAGTAGGAGGGTGAAAAATACTTTATGAACTATTCTCATACCTACCAAATTTCCAAAAAAAAAACTTTAAAATCGGTCGAGCCGTTTTGGGGGAGTGCGACCACAAACACCGTGACATATTTATATGTATGTATGTCTGTATTAGATAATAGGCATAAGTAAAATTGAAAAAAATATATATCTAAAGTCAGTCATCTAAAGTCAGCTGTTGTTTTCTATTTATTACGTGTGACGTGATAAATGATGGACTTGTTTTAAAAATTTTCAAGTAAAAAAATATTTGGTTCCGCTGAGTTTCTTTTGCAAATTCTTCTCAGTTCTGAGGCTTTCGTTCAACAAAAAATTTCAATTTTTTGAATAAAATAATTTGAATTTGAAAAATACCTAAGTTTCATATGAATCGGTGGGGTGCTAGTTTTAACCAGTTAAAATATTGGGAGTTATATTTAACAATGTTTTATTCCAAATTATTTTCAATTTTACAAAATGTATTATAGTCTACAATTTAATATCGCTTAAAGATAATTTTGGAAGACAACATTTTTTTTAAAACACAGTAAACACCTTGATCGCCTAAATGAATGATGAATGAAAATGTTCAAAAAATTTTGAATTTTTTGAACATTTTTTACAATTATAATATTACTGATCTGACGACTTATTAATGGAAATAAATATAACCGTTGAGTAACTAAGTGGGAATACATATATACAGGTGAAACACATAACTTTCTTTTGGGCCGCAGACGGATGAAAATAATTTAAGTTTTAACCCTCAACAGGTGCAATGGCACGCCAAGTGCCGGATGAACGCGGGCGCGAACCACTACATAGTGGGGCGCGACCCCGCCGGCCTCCCGCACCCCGCCGCCGCCGGCGACCTGTACGACCCGCGGCACGGCGCCCTGGTGCTGGCGCACGCGCCCGGCCTCAGCGACCTGGAGGTGAGGGGTTGAGCGTTGTTAGTCTTAGTAAATGCTGGCGTGTGAGCCTGGTTTGGTAGACGATATGAGGGTTAAGCTGTTTTTGTTTTTTTTTAAAGGGTTAGAAGCAGGTAGGCTGGGAGATTTGAACTGGTTTAACTTTGTTATTATGTATAACTGGCGGCTTACCCTTGCTTCGCTCGGGTTTGCCTTTAGAAAAGCAATAACAAATCTATCCCACGCGAACCTTACATTTTTTCCTGGATAAAAAGTAACCTTTGTGCTATTTCAGACTATAATCTCTATCTGTGCCAAATTTCATCCAGATCCGTTCAGCTGTTCTGGCATAATTGAATAACCAACATCCAAACATCTAAACTTTCACATTTATATATTAGTAAGATGTTCACGGAAAAAGAAGGTTCCTGATTTGCGTGTATTTTTGTGCGTGTGTGCGAATTTATCCTGGTTTGTGCACAGATCTCTCTAGGAATTACTGTTTTTTATTAGTTTAAGTAATTTAATTTTGTATATATATTTTTGGTCGAAGTAATTGAAGAGGTATACAAAGAATACAATATGTATAGACAAAAATAAATATTCATTTATGCAAAATCGTGAAATTATCAAAGCTAGTCAATCGATCGCCTTGACAATTTGATATACAAATCTGGTATCAACTACTTCATCATTCAAACGTTTGTCAAATGTTTTTCACTTTTCTAGTTTGACAGCTGAACAGCTGTTCAAATATTATTTAATATTATTGTAATAAGTTATCTAAAATATATTTATAATTTGTAGATAATTCCATTCCGTGTGGCTGCGTACGACTCGTCCGCGGGCAAGATGGCGTTCTTCGATCCCACGCGTAAAGAGGATTTCGATTTTATATCTGGAACTAGAATGAGAGGTAATGTATCGGAAATTGTATTTATTAAGACTAAAGTTTCACGATATTTTCTTACGATGATTCTTATGATGATTTATAATTTAAAGGAAACATGGATTTCTAGAGAATATTTTCGCCATTTTTATTTACTTTTTAAACTTACGGCGCACTATAAATTGAGTATACTATATAGATAATACTTGCTGTGCCAGCGGTCGCGGGTTCGAGTCCCGCTGGGGGCATTCATTGGTGTGATGAGCACGATGTTTGTACTCCAGTCATGGGTGTTTATATTTATAATATGTATGTATTTAAAGTTATGTATATGTACTGTATCAACTATCTGGTATCCAATTATTAATTATAAAAGCATCAACAATATGATGCCTTAAAGTTTCACGTCTCCTACATAGTAATATTGTTTCCATAGTTATATTTACATATATACAGCTAAATATTTACCTAAAATTGTTCGGAAACGTGACATCTTCGAGCAACATATGGCTGATTTTATTTGTTTGTTAAAGTGTCCTCTGTCCATTTATATTAGTATCATCTTGCGCCGCTACGTTTAAATATAATCAAAATTTTGACGGGTTGCTAAAATGGTATTCAGCCCTATTTTAACGTCCCACTACTGGACACGGGCCTCCCTTCAATATGAGGGGGATCAGGCCATAGTTCACCACGTTGTAAACTTGCTAGGTTCTCTCAGACAAGTAGGTTTCCTCACGATGTTTTTCTTCATCGGAAGACAAGTAAGTGGTAATCGTGTTGGAAATGATTCGCACATGAAAATATCAGAGGTGCGAGACCCGGGATTTGAACCCGCTTCACTTGGTTTCCCAAGTAAACGCGTTACCACTGGGCTACCACTGTCTGTTGCTAAAATATACTCAACAAATTTTCTTTTCATTCCAGGTCTTGCAAAAACAGGCAAAGAACCGCCTAAAGGTTTCATGGCGCCGAGCGCTTGGAAAGTATTATCAGAGTATTATCAATCCCTCAAATCCAAAATGGACACCAATTAACATGACAAATAACTATCAATATATTGAAATTAATTAATTTCGGTTCAGTAATACTTTCTTAGATTTACGAGAATATTTGACATTTTAAACAAAAACTATCTTTTCGTTTTTTTTCGTGATTTTATTTTAATTTTTGGTTCTCGACGTCTCTCTTGATCGTGATTGCTACACGACAATGATTGTTACGAAACGTCGGGAACCAAAAATCAAAATAAATCCAAAAAAAAAACCGAAAACTTAGTTCGGTTCAGTAAATATTATATTGTCTACAGTACATTCCGATTGTGTACAATAAATTGTGTAATTATACACATTCCACATATGTTTTTATACAGCGTGTTATATTTACTTAATTAGTATATATTTTATATTGGAGATTTGGTTAAAACTATATTTATTCAAATGATATCAGCTATTTTTTTAATATGAATTATTTAAGGATTTGACAATTATCTTGATTTTTTTTGTTTTAATATTTTATAAAAAAGATGTATTAAAATAATATTTTATTAATAAATTAGGTTATGTTATTTAAGATGTAAACGTACGACAAATTCCAATTAAATCGAATTACACCTGATTGAAATTTATCTTTATATTATGGGATGTTTAAGACATACATACATTTATTTTATTTTTAGTCATTTTATATCATCATGGTTCTATGTTAAACAATATTTTAGGTTTAAATTGTGTATCAATAATTTGATACTTTTGTTGTAAATCATATAATTGTTCTAAGCAATAAGTAAATATTAATTCGTTAATTTAAATTGAGTTGTAAATTATTTTTATTGTTATGATTATTTTGGTTATAATATTAACAACTTTTTTACTTATTAATGGACAATTTTAAAACAAATTATCTAAATAGGTATATTGTTTATTTAGATATTTATTTTGTTTTGTAAATAGACAAAGACAAATGTTCAGTACGTTTTTCTTCTTTGTTTAAACATTTTTTTATATAAATATATATATAAATAAAATATATTGACGAGCTTTAATTATCAATAAAAAATTATTATTTGTGAAATTCGATCACTGGGCGAACTAGCATATTTAAATAACATAATGCAAGTTTTGCATGAATCACTGTAATAATATTTATGCAAATCGACCGACTGTTAGAAAAATGTCCTAAATATTATTTTAAATTATTTTCAATTCTATATACCGATATTTATTTTATTTTTTAGTGAATATATAGACATTCACAATACCTACTTTATGGATTTTTCGCACAAAATATTCGCTTTCTTTCGCATAAAAACTTTCGCATAAAAACATGATGATATAACTCGGCTACTATTAGTATAAAAAAAAATATGGGCAGGTTGTTACTTCATAAGAGATTTTAAAATTTATTGTTGCAATTATAAAATAACGATTGTGGTGCTTATAAGCTATATAGATTTATTTAATATATAATAAAAGTTGAAAATTATATGTTATTTTTATTTGTGTTTTCATATTCCTTATTTACTATTTTTACGGTTTCATAGTCAACAAGGAACCCTTATAGTTTCGCCATGTCCGTCCGTCTGTCCACAGCGTAGCTCAGAGACTTACTTAGTACTAGATAGCTGTTTTTTTGGTATGGATATATATATTAGTCACGCCGATAAAGTAAAATAATATCTTAAAAAAAATTAGGGTACCTCTACATGTAAAGTGGCCTGAGCTGTCCAAGCGCGTGGCGTGACACGCACTTGGCCGGATTTTTATATATGTATAATAATATTTGATATTATTTTCTTTCTTACAAATGTTCTTTTTATATCTTTATTTTCTAAATAGATGTTTATCAATTCAACGCTAACGATTTCTTGGGTTTTATTAGTATTTATATAAAGAATAGATTTTACCCGCGACTTTTCTTGCGTGGTGGATAAATTGTTAAAAAATATCCCGCAAGTGTCACTCAAAATTTTTAGCCATTACTGCTTATTTAAACATATATACAAATTCTAGCATTTTTTTAATATTACCTAGATATATAATTATTTAGCAGTCATTTATTTTATATACCTAATATATAAAATATTTTGTATATGATAATTTATACATGTATAATCTAGTTATATCTACATAAGTATACACGAGTTTTGCACACATTGCATTATCAATCGCGTCAATTATTTTCTAAGGAATTTAACGTACATATATATTTCAGTACCCTCACCCTCGTTCCATTCGAGTTCGTCCCTAATTACGTTTTAACGGTTAGTACTTAGTATAGATTTCACAAAGATGAGATATTTTCCCGCAGTAAAAAGTATCCTATATGTTGACCCGGATAACCAGCTACCAAATTTCATCAAAATCTACAGTTCTTAGAATTTTTGTCTGTCTGTCTGTTACCGCATCACGGAAAAACCACTGGAGGGATTTTCGTGAAATTTGGTATGGTGATAGCTGGTTATCCGGGTCAACATATAGGATACTTTTACCACGGAAAAATATCACATTTCTGAGGAAAAATACAAAAACTACACTGTAAGAGTATACTAATATATAGAACCTAAGAATTTGGTTTTCGTTAATCTGAGCGCGGGCGGAGCCGCGGGCAATACTAGTATATTATAAAATAGTAACTTGGCGAAATCTGTACATGAAATATTTTTTAAAAGCAATGACTGTAACGTATTATGTGTACAATATAGACCACAAATCAATAGTAATTAAAATTATGACGTTATATCTGTGTGCGTTTCACGCAAAATGTACTGAACCGATTTTAACTAAATTTTGTGCAGTGAGGCCACAAATATGAGCTACGATGAAATTTTTCAAAGATATAGATTGTATAATGGGTACAGTCATAGGTCATCGTGTAATCCCGCCTCGCTTACAGTTACTTACCACGCGAGCGGAGCTGTGGGCAAAAACTATATTCCTGATAATTCTACGGTTGCTATGGTTACTTGGTAAATACGAATTAGGAAGATTTAGTACTAATGACATTCATACATACCTAATCTTAAACAATTTAGACCAACTGGAATTCCTTTATTTTTAAGAGAAAAAATTATTGAAAACTTAAAGTTTTATGATTTTTAAATATTAGCGGGTATATAAGGAATAGAAATTACCCCCGAGAAATAGGGTGTTTTTACAAGACTATCATACAATGTTTTATATTTTCAAAAAGTAGAGTTCAAAACGAAAAAAATGAGCCCTATCTAAAAATTAAACGATTTTTTTTAAATGTAAACGTCCTTGAAGTTGGGGTCGATTTTCAGCCTAACTATTTTTCAACGCTTCGCGTCCCCCCATTTCTCGGGGTTAGCTGGGCATGTGGGGCAATTTACAAACTTGGATTCCTTATATACCTGCTAACATTTTAAAATCATAAAACTTCAGGTTTTCAATATTTTGTTTCCAAACCGGATTCCAATTGGACTAATTAGAGTTAGTAACAATCCACTTCTTTATAATCTTATCAATGACAAAAAAAGAAACAACAATAACTAGGTATATCAATATTTGTTTCTTATCAGCGTTTAATTATCATTATGTATAATTCATATAAAATGCCTTATGAAGTAGAATATACGAGATATATTTCATTGAAGCAAACTAAAATTTGCTTTCTGTAACCTTAGTATAATTTGTCTGTTTATTGGAAGAAGACGTGTTAACAATGGCCTTAAGACTGGTTAAAGTGAAACAAATTGTAGAAAAATGTATAAGTAACACCGCGGTTAGGCATATGTCTCACTATCCCATCGATGAGCATATATTTGGTTTATCAAGTGAACAGCGACAGGTGCTTTTGTTTGTTATTTTATATAAGTTATGAGTGAATATTCATTCGTTAAACATGTTATTTAAGTGCGATAGCGAAAAATGTAAGTTTTTTGTGGTTTCTGAAATCATTAATGAGAAAGAAAAAACCTTGTAAGAATAAAATTGAATTTTAATTCGTGAAAAAAAATGGTAAAAAATTGAACGAAGAGAAATGTGGATGGATATTGTTATAAAAATTCCAGTGTATTAAATTATAATAGGAAAATATTTTATCGATATGCGTAAATGGACACAAATATGGACACAAATATGTTAGATAATATTTACGATTTGTATGTGTTTTTGTGTGACAGAATAAACAGGGTTATTGACCTATGATCGTTAATCAACCAATTAATTCAAATTTATTCTATAAAGTAAGTGGTGCAGTGTAGAAATTACAACAAATGATTGAGCTAATACTTTTGATAGCAATATTTATAGTTTCGCGCATATTTCTCTACACTAATTTCATAAGTCTGTTTAAAATTATGACTTCCAAAGACAATTCATCGATGACATCACCATACACTTTCAAAGTTCATGTGTGGACTTCGGAAAACTGAAAAAATAAATAAATTTTAATGTAAAAATTTACTGGTAAAAAAATATATTGTGGGCCAGCAATAACCACGGAAGAGAAAAAAACTTATTAAAGTCTTCCGAGATTCCGACAATGTCATATATCTACATAAATGGATACAGTGTGTGTATGTGTCAAGGGCCTGAGTAGTAATAAAATATTTCTTTTACGATTTTGTACTTATGATAAAAAATATTATAATAATATAAACCAGTTATCATAATATATTCATACGTACTCGTATCTACGTCACAATTCGTTTATTTTACATGTATAAATAAAATTGTAATGCTCAAGTAATAATCACTGCACGAAATAAAGCAGAATATTTTGTCAATAATGTATTATGGTTAACTTTATATACAAAACAAATGTAACTACACTTAATAATTATTTACTATTGATCAAGTCATGTTTGTGTGGAATTTTCACAAAGATAGAAGGTACAAAGAGTGCAGCAATAAGTGATTAATACAGTTTTTGTCTACCAACGGCAGCTATGTACTTTTTCTTTTACTGAAACGCGAGGCAGCCCTCTTGTAGAGGCAATAATTTAATGATTTTTTTGTACCACATTTACTCCACTGCCAAGAGTTTATAATGCAATAGTATAAGCGAAAGTGTTTGGCTATGGAATGTGTTTTCACGAACTTACCCTAACAGTGTCAACTTTTTCTGTCGTGGTTCACAAAATCATTTAAATTGATATTTTTGGGTTCCGTACCTCAGAAGGTATCCTTATAGGATCATGTGGATATGTTCGTCTGTCTGTCTGTCAAGATCCTTTTTCTTAGGAACTCGTGGAGGTACCAAATTGATTAATATCAAATACTATAATATATACCTGTAATGCCTTGGAACTGTAAAAAAATCAAATGATAAGTCAATGAAATTAAAAGATACGGCCGTTTATTCCGCTTATAGGTTTTGTCAACTATCCATTGACCTAGAGTCATTGAATTTGGCAAGAAGCAATGTCTTATGGCACAAATAAAAGGAAAGTCCGAAAACCACAAATTTGTAGTTACATCACAATTTTTTTTTTGCTATTTATTATAAACTTATTAAAATTTAAATGTTTCATGCCGCGGAACCCTCGGTGTGCAAGTCAGACTTGCACTTGTCAGTTTCTTTGTTATCATTTTGTTTTAATACAATTTAGATACATCAAAAATTTTTTTTTTAACATAGGTATATAAACAGTGTTTTAATAGTCATTCTTTTTATTATTTTTATAAATAATTGTTATTTTCCTACCAATTTCAGTTACGGCAACTAGTATTTGATTTCACCCAAAAAGAATTGGCGCCAAAGGCTGGAGAAATCGATAGAGAAAATAATTTTAAGGAATTAAGAGATTTTTGGAAGAAACTTGGAAATTTAGGTTTACTTGGTAAGTTATAAAATATGGCACTATATCTTATATTTTTTTACAAAATATGTAAGTCCAAACTATACCTATGAATGCGCTAATCTCTGGAACTAAGAGTCAGATTATTATTTTTTTGCATTTTAAAATTTTATCAAGGGTAGTAAGCTATTTAACACCACGCTAAGATCTTTAAAGGACGATGAATGAAGTACACACATAATTAAATAAACTATGGAAGGGAAGTACAGCCACGGGCAAAACTACATATATTAATAATAATAACTATAGTTTCCTAAATTAATAATGTTCAATATACAGACTGCTTCAAGAAAGATCTGATTTTATACCTACTAATTTACCGAGTGTTCCATAATTATACGGTTTAATTACAGGTATCACAGCAAGCCCAGACTACGGCGGAACTGGGGGTAAATACACTGATCATTGCGTTATAATGGAAGAAATTTCAAGGTAAGACGGAAGGAAGTAGGTATTTTATGCACCTAAGTACGTCCTAGATCAACTTATTCAAGGTTTATAGATGCAACCTAGGAATTAATATTTATCTAGAAATTATAAATTGTACAGACTTTTTTGCTAAGTTCTTTTATATTATGTTACTTAATACAAACTTATATTTATGCATTACTTGTTATTTATAGAGGCAGTGGATCTATTGGTTTATCGTATGGCGCACATTCTAATTTATGTATCAATCAAATCAATAGAAATGGAAACCACGAGCAAAAAAGCAAATATTTACCAAAAGTAAGTTTTGTGCGAGGCTTTTTTATAATTATTATATACAAGTATAATTATATATATTACATAATTACCTAATTAATTTTTATACTTACACTGGCGTCGGTAGCTTGATTCCCCATACAAACTTTCATCCCCGTTTTCACCCCCTTAAGGGATGATTTCCGGGATAAAAAGTATCCAATGTCCTTCCTAGGGTCTCAAATTATCTTCTTACTAAATTTATAAGTATTCTTAAATTTTATAATTTTCCGCGTATTTTTTTCTTTTTTTTCTTTCCTAAGAACCTTCTCCAAACACAACAAAATAAAATTAGTTAAATCGGTCCAGCTGTTCACGAGTGATGGCGTGACTAAGGGAAATAGTGATTCATTTTTATATATATAGATTAAAAATAGAGTTTTAATGTTTCAGTTATGTTCAGGAGAACATATAGGGGCCCTAGCTATGTCTGAACCAGGCGCTGGCAGTGATGTAGTTTCTATGAAACTACGAGCAGAAAAGAAAGGAGACTATTACGTGCTAAATGGAAACAAATTTTGGATCACTAATGGACCTGATGCTGATGTTTTAGTGGTATATTATGACAATATTTTTGGTAGATTATCACGGTTCTGCTTTAGAACCACAGAAAAAAATTGGTGCGTGTAACCTTTACGCGCGGTTGAAGTAAAACTTCGTTTCCAAATATAGCAATTAAATTAAAACAAATCAATAATTAAATATACCTAATATTAGGGCATATTACAAACATATATTTATAAAATATCATTTACGGAAAGAATATAATATTACTAGCATTGCCCGCGGCTCCGCCCGCGTTTAGATGACCGAAAACCAAATTCTTAGGTTTTACATATTAGTATACTCTTACAATTTTGTATTTTTTCTCAGAAATGAGATATTAACCCGCGGTAAAAAGTATCCTATATGTCGACCCGGATAACCAGCTATTATCATACCAAATTTCATCAAAATCCCTCCAGTGGGCTTTCCGTGATGCGGTAACAGACAGATAGACAGACAAAAATTCTAAAAACTATAGATTTGGCCTCTGTATTGATAATAATGACTATTTCAATAAGATTTTCCAAAATATATTAAATGTACAGATTCGACTTAGTTAGAATTTTATTATATAGAGTATACTAATATGTAAAACCTAAGAATTTGGTTTTTGATCATCTGATCGCGGGCAATGCTAGTTAAGTAATATGTACCTACCTACTCAACTTTATCAGTTATTACCTTTTATCGTGTTTTATAGGTTTATGCAAAAACGAGTCAAACAAACAAGCCCCAGCACAGTATATCTGCGTTTCTAATAGAAAAAGATTATCCAGGCTTTTCTACTGCACAGAAGTTAGACAAACTTGGCATGAGGGGATCCAACACGGGTGAATTAGTTTTCGAAGACTGTAAGGTAAAAGTTTAAAATAAATAGATAATATTTAACGATGTCAACATTATAATATGCTAGATAAAGGTATGTTACAAAATAGTTGTCTACTTTGCCTGAAGTCACGGGTTCGATTTCCGACCGGGCTGAACTTTTATATTGACTAGGTATATCGAGGGTTTTTTTCAATAAAATTTTAATACGAGGACGAGCTTGCTAGACCACGCTACGAGGTCTTGTGAAACTTCTATATTTACATATTATATACCTAGTATTAAATATATAATTTGTTGGGTATGTTTCGAAATGTTATTAAAACTTGTACAAAAGGCACTATAACTGTTTCAGGTTTAGTTACGAAGTAACGGAGGGGAGAGCGAGGAAAAGAATATGATAGAAATGAACTTCAAAATAACGCACCAACTTGTTTTATAATTTTAGGTTCCAGCATCTAATCTTTTAGGGGAAGAGAACAAAGGTGTCTATGTTTTAATGTCGGGATTAGATTTAGAGCGGCTAGTGTTGGCTAGCGGTCCCGTGGGACTGATGCAGGCAGCCATAGATACATCATTTGAATATGCACACACTAGGAAACAGTTCGGGAAGAATATTGGAGAGTTTCAATTACTACAGGTAAGAAATTAATAAAAACAAGATTTTATCAATAGATACCTACTATGTTAAAATACCTAATTCTGAATAGGAAATAATTTCTATTGGACCATCTGTCACTATTATCTAGTGGACACTGTATTCAAACGTAAATATGTAGATTATAATGCAAATATTTCATTTAGAAATAAGGGTAATGGACATATTATGATATATCTGGATCTACGGATTTAATTTCAGACCTAAAGTCATAGATCATTCAGCAGTTGATTTAAAACCACGTGCAATCCCACGCAATATCTTACGAGATGTCAATTCCTCAAATATACTCGAAACGAATGGCGCAAGAGTAGAGAGTGCAGATATATTATCACTAATATGTTTCTGCAATTACTAATATAGAAAAGCCAAAGTACCTACTATTCTATTTCCGCTTGTCGCAATAAGAATTAAATTAATTGTTCAAGACACGTAGTTTACGACTTATTTACTTTTCATTCATAAATAATACCGGTGCAATCTTTTGAGTGATTGACGTGGAATCGGCCACTTTAATTGATTGTACGTAAAACTACGAATCGAAACCATTCACGATAATAATAAGTAGTTTATGACGTTGTTCTTATGTCATCTTTATTAGGTAGTTGGCATCAGATCGAAGACCGGACGTGCCAGAGTTGAGAGTATGACATATCCATTACGATACTTGATACTTAGGTTACAAAATGTCATGATTTGATTTTTTTTAATCATCGAGATACATTTGCACGACTTGATGATGGCGCCTGGCTCGTGTTACTAATGGGTTGTTTGGTCAGAGTTTGGTGTAGGTAGAGTTGACTTTTCATATCAATATAGAAAAATAAAATTGATGTGTTTGTTTAGATATAAAGTTAAAATAACAGCTTTTTCCTATATAAATATATATGAAAGTATATACGGTTCGCCAACCCGCACTTGGCCAGCGTGGTGGACTATGGCCTGAAAAGGGCCAAAAAACAATTCTGTCTCTTTGTTCCTATCTCCAAAACGGCTGGACCGAGCTTGAGGGGACTTTATGACAGATAGAACTTTTATATATAAGATAGCTACTTTTACTTAAACTTAAAACCCATGAACTTGTAAACAAAATCGTACCTAGGAACGGAACTGAGCGAAACGAGGGTAAATCGCTAGAATTGATAACATTGTAAGTTAGGTTTGATCTGGTCCAGACGATCTTATCTAATAAGTAGGTAGTTATCTCGATTAACTTTCTCCTTCTGATCTATCAAAGGATCCTGATCAAGGCCAACTTTAAATGTGATTTAAGTTATTGCAAAGAAAGTCTTTTTAATTTTTGTATTATTAGCTTGCGTTTTCGGAAGCACAAAAACCAGTTCATTGGTTTCACATAAAAAACGAACTAAGAAACCTAGGAAGAAAATATTGCTCGGGCTTGCGCATATGGGAACTTCGGGACTTTCTTAAGCCAAGAGGTACCCCAAATATATTATACCTATATTAGTGCCTGTTAGTTGATTAATCATTTTTTCACGCAGTCACGATACATATGTACTTATCCCAATTTCCCGATATTCAGCGTCACAATTTACAGGAACAGATTTTAAGCATCACAAAACATCTACCTTTACATTCTAAGGGTAAGGAAATGTTAGCCCTGTGCGATATCGAACGTGCGAATTACCATATTAGGTATGCAGTGTCAGAGTCCAACACATTGTTTTTTTTAAATATTTTTTCTTTAAAAGGGTAAAATGGCAGACATGTACACAACACTAAGCGCATGTCGGAGTTATTTATATAATGTCGCAAAAGCATGTGACGAGGGGCACATTAACAGCAAGGATTGCGCTGGGGTTATTTTGTACTGCGCCGAAAAAGCTACTCAAGTTGCTTTAGATGCTATACAGATATTAGGTAAGTTTAACTATTATATAAAAATAAAAATGGTTTTCTATAAAGGTATTTCCAAATACCTTAAATATATTTATTTCTTAATAATTTTTACATGTTTAAATTTTTTCAGGAGGAAATGGTTATATCAACGACTATCCAACTGGTAGGTTAATGAGAGACGCAAAGCTTTACGAAATAGGGGCTGGCACTTCAGAAGTTAGAAGGATGCTTATAGGGAGGGCATTGAATAGTGAATACAAATGATATGCACATCAAGAACATTTATATTGAATAAATAATTATTTACATACTATGGCATTTTACTTCTTCGCTCTTTGGTTTAATGTTCTACATTTTAAATTTTCGCAATGCATTCTCTAAACTACAAGTTTTATTGATTAAATAGATAAACTAAATAGTATGGAGGTCAATTAAAAACAATTGTATGCCCCCTTCTGAATTCTCGTTATTATAAATGTTGACTTAATATAATTGAACACATTCATTTATAAAACTAAAATTTTAAATGTATTTTAATACTAATTACAATAATTTTTGACCAAGTAAAATCTATAACAATTTTATGTTTTTTGAAGAGCCTTTCACTTTTAAAATACATACTCCTACTTCCCTAAGATAGAATATAGACAAATATACAAAATTATTACATATAATATGTCTTTGCCCTGAATATTTTTTCTTATATATTCATATTTTAAGGCGAATAATAAATTAAATAACCAATAATCTAACTAATGTCACTTCTAGCCCCAGTAATTGAACTCACAACTTCCAAGGGCAGCTAACTCAAGTCTTCTTTTGTCTTTCATAATAATTATTAATTATTAAACATTCTTATATTAGCGTTTTCACCAAGTTTAAGCTAATAATAACATTTAAAATAACGACTATAATATTTACAAAATTCTATTAAATGGCTACATTGGCTATTTCAAAATATATGAAACTATAAAGATATGTATTAATAAATATGTCATGACAATTCTAATTCTAAACAAATAAGATAAAGTAACATTCCAATAGATTGAGAAGATACAAATTATTTAAGTTTAAATAAATAAATAACTATTAATATTATAATACTAATGTAATAAATAATATACATCTTGGTACCTTATTTAAATGATATATTTAAATATTTTTTTATAAATATATAGAGCATAGATTATATCTTATTCCCACCAAAAGCTTACAGAAAAACTCACTGATAATGATTCAACAAAGTGCCACCATTTTGGTGGGATGTAGAGCATTTGACCAGCTTTTAGTACACAGTAATAACCATTCACTTCTCTATATTTTGGATATTTTTCCAAATCTGGTTGTCGTGGATCAACTCTTGCTGTATTACCTAAAAGCTCATGTCTATGAGGGTACAAATTTTCTGACTCCTGTGGTGAAAATAAAAATATCAATTTTTCCCCTACAACTTGAGCAAGTAAATTTTTTTTAGGATCATGGTGGAGAGGAGATACTGTGCCTTTTGGACCATACCAAGCCATAATCTCGATTGAACTGTTTTCAGAAAAACAACAATATTCTGGTTCTATAATATCCTTTTTTAATTCAGGAATTTGATCAAATAGTTGATATTGAGCTAAATAACCAGTCATCCCATTTTCATCATAGATATGGTTTTTTATAAATTCTTCTAATGTCATAAGTTTTTGGGTCCATTTTGAATCTGTATAATCTCTGCCTAACTCAATTGCAACAGTTCTTAGACCAGCCAGTTTTATAAAATAATTTTGATCCTGCCATTTAGTCATAGCTGGCCAGTGGCTTATACAATTTTCTAAAATAACAGGTTTATCAGCTAAAATATAATTGGTGAGAAAATGTTCCATGCTTGGACAATTTATTACATCTAAAACATTACAATTGTAAGTATTGTTTTCAAAATTGTGTGTGTTATTTAAAATCCTTCTTCCATCTACTTCTGGTTCATTATTGTCCTGAATAAACGCAGAATGAAGGTTTGATGCACAATTTTGTAATAGATTTGGTTCAGCATCAGTTGGGCAGCCAAATAATATTCCAAAGTCAATAATCTTAAGAGCTTCCTTTATAACATCATTATTGAGACTGTCACAAAATTTCAAATATGCTATGAGTCGAAGGTAAGTTGCAATCGTTACGGTTTTCCTGAGGTACAACCTCACTTCCTTCCAATTACCAATATTAACTTGTTCATACATATAATCAATAACTGCTTGAATTTTTAATGTAGACTTTTGATTGATTAGACTAATATCTTTTAGTAGTTGCTCTATTATTGTTTTACAAGTTACATCTAGTTCAGAAATTTCTGTTAATGATACAAGAACATTAGTTTTAAATTTTTCGATTTCATTACGAATATTTTCGGTGGTCGACATTATAAAAATTGTATTTGCAAAAGAAGTTCAATTATATCTTTCTTAAATTGTTTGTCATACTCAAATAGTTCCAGTTAGCAATTTATACTATTTTTTTTAGGAAAACAAGAGCTTAGCTTAATAATTTTAATTTTGACAACTGAGCTGACATTTAAAAATCAAAAGTCAAAACTTACGTTTCGTTTCTGTCGTACGACTACGAGTACGATGACAAACACGCCAAACTGCCTATGGTCTATGACATGACACATTTGTATATAAAATATAATAATATTATAATCATAAAATATTTTGTGTTTAATTTTAAATATTTTTTTAACTAAATGTTTTTTTATTATAAATATGCTTACAAAAATGTCATGCAGATAACAAAATATGTCGACCTTGACCTTTACAGAAAAGAAGAAAAACATATTGTCTATGGTAAATCATATGACTTTCGCACGTGATCTGTCGGATTATTTACATTCTAAAGTGTTTTCCAAATGCTATCAAAAATTAAATTTTTTGATAACCTCACTATAATCGGATATACATAATGAAGTCAGCTGACTCTGATTCCGAGGATAATGTGATATGGTGTGTGTGATACAATGGCATTATTAGAAAAAATATTTTCTATTAAAAGGAAAGTTGATTATGATTATTGGGACTCACGAAGCTGGGACAGGTATGTCATTGTAAATACATGTTATTCATTGTTTTCTATTTTTGCATCAAGAATATGTAAATAAATTGACGCAAGAAGCTTTCAGCGGCTTTTTTGTCAGACCTTTGAGATGCGGTGTAGAGTGTTTCTGACGCACGAAACGCTGGCAGTGCTGTTAGTATCACCGTCACCGACTAGCTTAAAACGGTGGAACTCTCGAAGCATGTGATAAGCGCGGGGGGCGCGGGTAACGTGGGCGACAGCCTGATCACGTCATTATGGAAGAGGGGCGGCCCTCGGTTCAATCAATGTTTACTTATTATTTACATGCGGTCTAGTACACTCGCACATTCCAAATCGCTCCGTCGTTAGACCATTGTCTTTCGGTTGCGTATGTGCATTTAAAGTGAAATTTTTCATTAATGCATTTCTTGTGCAGTGAGTGTATGTGGAATAAATTAGTCACCTGTCAAAATATTATAATTTGTATTACTGGCAAAAACTGTGAATTAATCCAAAGACTATGATATAAAATGAAATTTAGGTAAACTTGTAATCATTGATATTTTCATTCAATTCATTTAAGCAATAAATTAGAACTTCTATTTGTGGGATGATATTATGATAAAGTGAACATAGTACATAGTTGCCATAAAATGTGGTTCAAAGCAGTTGAATCTTGCTTATGCTGTGTATTTCTAATGAAGAAAACAAGTGGAGCATTTTATGAATGAATCTAGTATGTTCTCAATGTAGCATTTGTGTTATACTGTACATTTGAAATCAAAATACTAGCGTAAATGTCATTGTGTGTTTATAATTAAATATAAGAACATTGAAAAAGTATTTACCACTTTAATTCATAATTGTCCTGTCCATATCATTACATACAAAAATTTCTCATCATTTTTTTAAATTTTGTAAGAAAGCACATGAAAGCAACAATGTAAAGAGAAAGTTTTTGAGACTTGATATCTACTTTGCTTATACTGAATTTGATTTCATTTAGATCTTTTAAATTATTTTTGAATATCTGTATCTATTTATTTGGCAAATTATATGCTTTCATCATTATTATTTTTTTGTAAATGGTAGTAATAGTTTAGTAGGTCACCTTTGTACCCTTTTAAAGAAATCTGATTAGAATTTTAAAATAATTCAATAAAATAATAATTCATTTATGAAATTTTGCTATATAGAAATATTTACCCCTAAAACCACAGCTGGAAAATTTACCTAGCTTTCTTTAAATCAATTAATAGTCTTCATTATTACCAATCACGATTACATTCATTTTTAAAATTTAAGATTTCAATACTATTATTCAAAATGATGTCTGTCAGATTTACATGATAATTAATTGTCAGTAGGTCTTGCGAAATAGCTTTGGAGCAAGTGCGGTTGCTTCTGTACAAAGAGTGTGATCGTAGAGGCAGAAAAGTTCTGTTTGATTCATCAACAATTGAACGAGTGCCAGCACACAAAGATGATAAGCCAGACTTTAGTAATACAGAGAAGATACCATGTATTGTGGAGGTTTCGGAAGGATACACATATATAGTAAGTGATTTTTCATCCTCTTTTATTTTGTTTGTACCTCTCTTGGTGTTAGATTTATATCTCATTGGACAATATTGTATAATCCTAACATAAAACAAATATTGTATGATCTGTAACTTACTTAATTATAATGTATTTAGGCAAATAATAAACTTTGAACATCTATGTACTATTAAATGTAACTTACGTTAGTTTTAATTTGAACAGAACTAGTAAAGTTCAGAAATTAATAATTATGATAAAATATTAATGACTCTTAAATTAAAGTTATTTTGTGAACATATATTTTAAATGACTTTGACAAATATGTTTCTTACAACAGTTAATCACTAACAAATTTGCAAATCAAGATTGATTTAAAAAAAATGTATTGAATAATGTCCTTCACTCATGCTTTATTAGTCATATTCACTTCCATTCATGTTTCTTTAGATCATAAATAATGAGGAGGGCATAAATATAAATACCATTAGCTATTTATATACTTTTATTTTTAAGAACTATTTTTTAAGAATAGCTAATACACACAATATGTTCAAAATAAATATGTGTTTTGCAGTATTTAATGACTGTTTGTGTTATATATATATATATATATATATATATATATATATATATATATATATATATATATATATATGTGTGTGTGTGTTTGCGGAAAAGTATTTCCGTATTCGCGTCGTACCAAAGAGGTTTCCACATAATCGCGTTATGCGTGCAATTCGTTATCAAATACGTAACTGTAACAACTTATAAATAAACACGACAATTGAGACGTAGCGTCACGAGACTTCCAATTCACAGTTTATTCGCACTGTGTTTCTATATATAGAGCACTTGTACGTTAGCCTTTTTATTAAGTGGGTCTAACAAACTACACTGTGGGACTGTAATTTTAGCTGAGTTCTAATTTCATGGATGTCACATGGGTTTGTTTTATGGCAATTGAAAGGTTATCTCCATTATCTATATTTAGGTATGAGTCATAGAAAATTACTTCTTAATACTTATATATTAAACTAGCATTTCCCGCGGCTCCACCCGCGTTCAAATGACCAGAAACCAAATTCTTAGGTTTTACATATTAGTATACTCTTACAATGCAGTTTTTGTATTTATTCTCAGAAATGAGATATTTTCTCGTGGTAAAAAGTATCCTAGATGTTGACCCGGATAATCAGCTATCATTATACCAAATTTCATAAAAATCTGTCCAGTGGTTTTCTCGTGATGCGGTAACAGACAGACAGACAAAAATTCTAAAAACTATAGATTCGGATAGGGATAGATTTCAATTAGATTGTCCAAAAAATATTTAATGTACAGATTCAACTTATTTACAATTTTATTGTATGTATAGATTAGACTTACTATCTGTTTTTCGACCACGACTCTATAGGGTACGTACATACATGCATAGCTTTTGTGGTTTTCACCATAAAGTATCTACCTGTTTTTGACAGATATTTGAATTTTTTAAAGCACGCATTAAAAAATAAAACTTATCATAGTACTTTTTTGATATAATAAAATATTTGTATAATCTTGCAACACAATAGTACCAAACAAAGTGATGAAAATTTTTAAAACACGTAAAAATACTGGTTTTCGGAATAATTCCGCAATACTCATAAGACAAGATTGCGATTCGATTTGAACTTTAGGCCTCATTTTAAGTTACATTTAAAAACAATTAACTATTTTGCATTACTTAATCTGATATATTGTCAAGTAATAACAAATTATTGTACACTAGTGACTTAACCCCGCCTCGTTCGGGTGCGTTCCTAGGTACGTGTACATAGCGTTGCTACAGTTAAATAGGAAGATCTTTTTAAGAGGAATAATTCTGTAATACATCGTTTCCATATAACTGTTTCATATAACTATGTAAGCCAATTTACACAAAACCTTAATGAATTATACACCCAAACCTTCCTCGTGAATTACCCAATTTATTGGTGAAAACAGTATGAAAATCCGTTTATTAGTTTATGAGTTTTCGCGTTCAGAAAGACAGCACAGACAGATAACAGAATGTAGTGATAATATGTAAATAGTAAATACGTTTTATTTTAATGTATGTCAAAAATTTAAGGTGCTGTTTATTGTGTTTTGTATTAGTTTCAATAATGATTAAGCTAGCAGCTTAATTTTTGATTTGATTGATTACTCTTTATCTAAATTAAAGGGTAGGAGGACCACCCTTAAAGGGTAAAAAAAGGTTGTCGAAATCATTACAACATAAATGGATTACTTATAGAAAATTGAATATTTTTTTTAGTCGTATTACTCGTTTAGTTTATTAGGGACTTACCCATTAGAATTAATCTATATATATAATAAAATTCTGAGTCGAATCTGTACATAAAATATTTTTTTAAAAACCTGTTAAAACGTTCCTAGGGACGAACCCAAGCCGAGCGAGGGTGAGTCGCTAGTATAGTTTATACGTATGTGATAAATCTGATCAGCTGTTAGGTATCCGTCAGTAAGTAGGTATTGCCAGTCAAGTCTTATATATCTAAAACCTGTATCTTTATCTATAATTTTTTCGATTAAAATTATTGTTTGTGAGATTATAGTAAAATTCTATGTATGCAAATAAGTAGACCTTCATTTGGCATTGACGATACTCATGTGACTAATATGATGCTCACAATCGATTATAAATGACACTTCCTCATAGATAATGCACTTTATCTGGCGTGAAGTATGTCTTCACGCTGCGATTTATTAAAATTAAAATTAATTTTAACCATATATGCTGGCCATGGTTTGTAAATCCTTTAACAAATCTAAGAAGTTAAAAGTTCTTAGAATATTATCTTAGAATAGTATTAGTAATAATACAATTATGATTCTCTGGTCAGTGCTAAAGTTTCACCATAGTGAAAGTAGCGTTCTAACTACGCTTTTCGAACAATAATAAATATATAAGGTAATACTGCTATTTCATTAAAATCTATTCATTAAAAATCATTCGCAAGCTTCCGCAAGCTTTACTGTAATTGCAAGGACAATAGAAATGATTGATACCAAGTGGATATTATCGATCAGACTCACATTGAGTTATCTATATTTGTAACTAGCGACTCATCAGCGGATTAAAGACTTCCTGAGCGACCGATCACTCAGAGTTGTGGTTGATGGTTGTTCATCACAACCCTTAAAGACCAACTCAGGAGTTCCTCAGGGGTCTGTTCTCTCTGCAACCTTGTTTCTGCTGCATATCAACGATCTGCTTATACCCTGTATCTATGGGTACGCAGACGACAGCACTATTGTAGAGAGATACCTGCCGAATCCTCGGGCCAGTAGAGATCAAATTCAGTCCGAAAGAGAGGCCATGGTAGAGCGGTTGAATCTCACACTCAGGACAGTCTCCACTTGGGGCGATGCCAATCTTGTGAGTTTCAATGCCACCAAAACACAGGCGTGCCTGTTCACCACTAAAAGGAGTCCTTTCACCTTGACTCCTACTTTCCGGAATGTGCCTTTGGAATACACAGAACGTCTGCAGTTGTTGGGGATGGACATCAGCCCCAACATGAACTACGGGCGGTTCATCGAGTCTAAGGCTAATGTAGCTGCGAGGAAAGTTGGCATCCTTGCAAAGGTCCGACAGTATTTCACGCCGGGACAGCTTCTTGTTTTATGTAAAGCGCAAGTCCGGTCGTGTGTGGAATACTGTAGCCACATATGGGCTGGTGCTGCGAAATGCCATCTGTCAGCCTTGGACTCGATTGAGAGGCGTGCTCAAAGGCTTATAGGTGACCCTACGCTGGTAAAAGCTAACCTACAAAGCCTCGATCACCGACGTAGGGTTGCCAGCCTTTGTGTATTCTATAGGTTACATTTCGGAGAGTGTGCGCAGGAACTACATGAATTAATTCCCCCATCCCCTTTCCATCATCGGACAACCCGACGAACGGCTGGTCTCCATCCTTATGTCGTGGACATTCCACCCGTCCGCACGAAGCGTTTCGCTACGTCATTTATTATACGTACGGCTAAGGATTGGAACAACCTGCCTGCGTCGGTGTTTCCGTCCGATTATAATATGGGTGTCTTCAAGGCAAGAGTGAATAGGTGGCTACTGAATTAGTGCGACTCACCATCTACGACTGCGTTACCACTTACCATCAGGTGGAACGTAGTCAAGCACTAATTCTGAATAGTATAAAAAAAAAAAAAAAATCCTCGCTTCGCTCGGGCTCGTCCTTAGGTACGTTTTAACTATTAGTATGGAAATCCCACGGGAACCGTACATTTTTCCGGGATAAAAAAATTGCATCCAGTTCAGCCGTCCTGGCGTGATTGGGTATCAAACACCCATCCAAACTTTTGCGAAGGTGAGTCGCTAGTAATCTAATAAATTATAAACTTCGCGAATCAAATTGAGAAAATTAAGTGTTCAAATTACCTGTAATATATGTACATATTTTTAGAATATCTTCTGACCGTTTAAATTAGATTTTAGTTGTGTTATAATCTAAAAGTCAGATAATAAACTTTACAATCAAAAGTCTATTAATATTGGTCGTTCGTTCGTTTAGTATTTTTAGATTATATCTAGACATTTGAAATATTTATATCTCAATCAACTAACGGTGGATCTCAATAACCTATCTATGTATTTCCTTACTAGCGATAGAAACTAAACATAATAATATGGAGCTTATGTGCTATTTATAGTAACGACAACTTTAGATAGATACGTAAATTATTGAGAGGCGCTGTAAGTTTCGTAAGTAATTATTTTATGTTAATTTTCTTTGTCCAGTATAAAGGTCAGGCGACAGATGCGAGCGTCCTCGGTGAGATGATATTTGGGGCCGTTGCAATGAACTGCAAAAGTGTATCATTAAAAATTCATATTATGAATGATCCGAGACGGTAAGTCTTTTTAGTTATTGACATGTTAAAATATTGTTATTTCTGATTTAAACTTAATATGTTTTTATACTTTATTAGTGTAATTGTGATATATATATATATATATATATATATATATATATATATATATATATATTATAACCACACGTAGAATAATTATAACCTACGAGTACAATATTTCACAAAGCGATTCTAAATAGAATTATATACCAACTTGGCCTCGCTAAGTTGAAAGGTCAAGAGGGTATTAAAAGTACATTTATGTAACTAGATTAGATTTATCGTTCTTATCAAAGAATATATCTGTTTTGTTTACGACTCTTTTCATTAACAAATATCATAGTATTAGGTCGAACCAGGTAGGTATTGGTTGGAATGGCGCATTTCTGTGCTATTATGATACAATTTTGGTACTATTTTATTAATTATATATTTATGTACAATACCTATATAAAGATTCCTGAAAATTTAGGTATAAAAATACGTATATTATTATGAAAATTATTATGACAATTTCCTCTTTTTCCTATAAAGTTATAAGTCTAATTCGAAAACACTGGTGTGTTCCTTCATTTATTTGATCACGAGATAAAAAGTATTTTATAATGCACGTGAAATATCTTAAACAAAAATATCGTACATATGTGCAATGGAATCTGCTGCAATCTCCAATGTTTATACGATTGTGTCGCAGTATTTCACTTATCTATAATAGCATATTAAACTACCGGAACATCTTTGAGACAAGAAACGCATTGCGCTAAGATAATGCGTGTGATATAGCGAACTATATTCCACTTGTGGTTATTTTAAATGTGTTAGGTACTATTTTAAACGACTTCAAAAGGGGCTTGTTATACGATTTTCATGTTTTTTTTTTATAACTAGAATAATTAAAGTACTTGTCTAAAAGTTAGATACACGACGTCAAAATGAACTTAAAATTATAGATCTTTTGGGGTGTTTTTTTTCTTCCTTAAATAAGAGATACAAAATTCTCGTAACATTATAGTAAATAAACCATACACCCGAATTGTAAACTTCCTCTTCTTTGAAGTCGGTTGCTAACATCTCCTACCTTTGTATCTGATATCGAAAAACACTTGTAATATAAAGTAATCATTATATTTTCTTATATATTTTGTTTAGGTTAATGTGCACGAAAATATTCAGCGTGCCTCCATCGAGGATAAGTAGGGTAGAACGTAAGACTGAAGCAAACAAAAGTGGCCATTTGACTAATCGTTCGACGCCCCTAAATGTGCCATTGTTGAAAGAAGAAGGCGTCTCGTTAAGTTTTTCTTTGGACAGAGGAGATTCTGGTGAGTGTAGTTTTTTTGTTTTACAGGATTAATAAAAATGAGTTTTTAGTTTTTTTTTATTTATTTACATTGTAGAGAGATGGCTTTTTTATTTGTATGGACTCTAGGCTTTTGTCTCGTACAAAACATATTATTTTCCTAATCTAGAAATATAAATACGATCAAAAGTTTATTTACTTTGTCATTGTTATATGAAGGAGTAAATTTGATTTTGACCTTGAGCACTAATTCCGTCCAATATGAAGTTCTAGATAGAACCACTTCCATTGGGGATTTTATAGTCGGTTATTTAAATTGAATTTAGCTTGCTGTAATACGTTGTAAAATGACATGTGACCATCATGGCTGAACATTGATTGTCGCCTTCCTTTAAAACGTATAATATGTTCATAATAAATAAAAAAGAGAAAGTTTTTCCAATTTACTGCCATTGTGACATGTTTTCAAGTGCCATCGCAAAGTGTTTGTGTTGCGTAAATCTTTTACCATACATATATATATAAAGCGAAAGGTCACTCATTCACTCACCTACTATATACAAAATCTCAAAAACTTGACCTGTGAAGCGGAAATTAGGTGTTTATTTTAAATGTAGGTGACGTAATATAAGAACGGTATTGGACTGGGAAAAATTAAAGAGGTCTAAAGGCTATTGTAAGTTTACATAAAAGTGATATGTTCTTGCTGCTAAAGAATAAAGACGAGGTATTCTGGTTAAACACAAGACGCAGGCGGAGCCGCGTGTAAAGTTAGTATTTTGTAAGTCAGTAAGTTTCGCCATACTATTTCGTGCGAACACGTAATGAATTAAAATCAGCATGCAGTACAATAAAGAGTGTGCGCCGGCATTATTCTAATTGTTTTATCCAATACGTAAAAGGTTAATAAACTTTTCAAGTATACGTATGACTTCAAATTTTTTTTAAAGAAGTAAGGGTTTTTGGTTGGAATGTAGTAGATAATCTCTCTCTTTGGGTACTTGAAATTCTTTAGCTACAGAAAATTGAGTTTTCGTTGAGATATTATAATTCAAATATTTATATTCCAAGGTGTTAGAAGCTGGGCGATATGAGGCCTCTAAATAGATTTCGTTTGTTTGAGTTTGTGTTCATCTTCTTTCATAGTTGTTATATTTGTTATATTAGTACCTATTACGTATTTGTTGTTTGTTTATAAATCTATACTAATATTATAAAGAGGCAGAGTTTGTGTGTTTGATTGAACGCGCTAATCTCAGAAACTACTAATCTAATTTGAAAAAACATTTTTGCATTAGATAGCCCGTATATTGAGAAAGGATATAGGCTATATATCATCATGCTACTCCCCAGGGGTGCGGAGAAGTAATCATAAATGTCAACAAATCGGGCAAACTTCCATACATTATTGTAAATCTTATGTTTATAATCAAACAAATTTAACTCGGGTGAAACCGCGAAGCTAGTTGTTATATGTGTGTGAAGTATTTTATAATGACAATCTGTCAACGTAATTAGTTATCGCAATGCAGTTTGTCTTAAGATATTTATTATTGTGGGAAATAACCTTACTTTTTCGATTGTAGAGAATGGATCTACAAGTAGTTCAAGAATAATCTTTAACTCGTTAAATTTACATAGGATAATGTTCATTTTAAGTTTGATCAGCTATTCTATCGGAACACTTTGTTTTGTATGTATTCAGCCCTTTTTAATGTCCCACTGCTGGGCACGGGCCTCCCTTCAATACGATGGGGATCAGGCCATAGTCCACCACGCTGGCCGAGTGCGGGTTGGCGGACTTAACATGTCTTTCGAAAACTTGCTAGGTTCTCTCAGACATGCAGGTTTCCTCACGATGTTATCCTTCACCGTAAGACAAGTGGTAATCGTGTTAGAAATGATTCGCACATGAAAATATCAGAGGTGCGAGACCCGGGATTGAACTTGCTTCACCCGGTTTCCCACGCGAGCGCGTTACCACTGGGCTACCACTGCCACACTTTGTTTTATGTGGATATAATAATAATATGATATACGTCATAATGTGCTTAAAAATAGCTAAAGATTTCATCCAGTATATCACAACTCTCTGTTTGTAAAAGGAATGCAGCTAACTTCATCATGTCGCATTTTAGTCGGTGTGCTCGCGCATCGTAAAAATTTACTCATCATTTTTTCCAATCGTGCCAAAAGAAGTATAACTTCAAAAAATCGGATAGTTTATTCCAGCGGTTAACTTGTTGAAACAAAAAAATCAAATAGACGTACTCTTCAGATTGGTAATATTAATAAATTGTTTTTGCTTAGTAGGAGATAAGATAAAAACTTCTAGATTGTATGTGTGTCGTGTACATCAGATCATTTACCCTTTTTGTAGTTTAATAAAAAAATCTATATATCATGATTTCTGACCATATCGTATAAGTGATAACGAATTATATTATTTCTTGTAATAATGAAATTGTATGTCAAATTTTTTTCAACAAATTGAAAAGAAACATATTATGACAACAAAGTCAGATGTTAGATTATTTTTGACTAACTTTAAAAACCGGCCAAGTGCGAGTCGGACTCGCGCACGAAGGATCCGTACCATTATCTTTAAAAACGGCAAAAAAATCACGTTTTTTGTATGGGAAAAATAAATATTTGTTTTATTTTAATTAATTATTTTTAAAGTAAATATATAAGTAAATATTCTGTGAATATTTCAAGCATCGAAAAACGAGCAAAAAATCACGTTTGATGTATGGGAGACCCCTTAAATATTTATTTCATTCTGTTTTTTAGTATCTGTTGTTATAGCAGCAACAGAAATACCATCAGACATATCATCTGTGAAAATTTCAACTGTCTAACTATCACGGGTCATGAGATACAGCTGTCTGTCTGACAGACGGACAGGCAGACAGACGGACGGACAGCGGAGTCTTAGTAATAGGGTCCCGTTTTACCCTTTGGGTACGGAACCCCCCTTAATAATAATAATTAGTACTTTTAGTTAAAACTAGTGCTGTTTTAGGTACATATACTTAGCCCATTGCATTAATTGTTATCATCGATCGCTATGCAGTTTATATTGAGTTTGCAGGTTTTAGTGAGAACCTTGATCGAAATGATCTGTCGATCTGACTAAATTATCCTCATGTAAGTCAAGCGAAAGTTTATTCAACTTACGTTATGTTCACGGTCATGATATCTATCCATATTATATTATTATTATATATTATTATTAATGTAAAAAAACTAATCTTAATATTTACAACTTTTTATTAGGTATTTACGATTATTATGTGGGTATATATATTTAAAAAATTTTGAATGACATATTTTGTTATAGGTTTTTATGGGGAGCAATCACCCTACAGCAGCGTGGGTTCCACTTATGATTATTTTTCTATGTTCGACACTTGGGATGGTAACGCCTCAGAAGAATATTGCTTTCGTAGTAAGTAATTATCAATGATTACTAATTTTGTTTTATATAGGAATGTTTAGATGTTTGTTCATTTATAATACAAAGTGTAATTTTGTGTGGTAACTAGTTGTTGTTGTGTAGTAGTTGTATTAATAATAAGAAAAACAAATATAGAAATTACGCCTTACAGTGTACTTTGAATGGCTTTTTTAATATTTTATCCTTCAATACTTCAATACATTTCCACTATTTTTCTTTGGATAATTGATTAATTTATTCCGCTCTTTATTTTGAATATATGTATGTAGTTCTATAAACTGTAGCTTCATACGGGAGTCAAACCTGAGACTTTAATTTCGATACATAATAATTAATAACGGCCAAATAGCATTCTATTGGTATTTTCCTTTTAACAACACTTAAGAACAATATTATATTAATAGGCGCTCATTTTCTCAGCGCCATGTGGACGCAAGCTTAGTAGTTCGAGCAACGGTAGTTGGCAGAGACGGACCTTCCAAAGCATGGCTACCAGGTTCGATCTTAGGCAGAGCAATTCATTGAGAGTACCTTCAACGGTGTCCAGCGTGGATTCACAGGTAAAATATATTATTATTAATTAAAAATATGTTAAATTTTAGATATGTTTAGTGAATAAATTAAACTCAAATTTAAATCATGTACAAAATAACAGACTTTGGTCTACTCATGCACTTCCTTACGGGATAGGCAGTGGTCATAAATTTAAGTGTCATAATCTTAGCTAGTATAATTACATTTTGACATTTATATACCAACTGAAGCACCAGTTCAAATCTCGGGTCTCGCTACTCAGATTTTTCTATGTGCGAATCATTTCCAACATGATTACCACTTGTCTTACAGTGAAGGAAAATATCGTGAGGAAACCTGCATGTTTGAGAGAACTTAGAAAGTTTTCGAGAGATATGTAAAGTCCGTCATCCCTTACTTGGCCAGTGTGGTGGACTACCTGATCCCCCACGTAATAAAGGGAGGCTTTACCAGCTGTGAGAAATTAAAACGTGCTAATTACATTTATTTATATGAAAAGGAAACAGTATTAGCTCATAAAGCGATTAGACGCGAGATGATAAAATTTGTTTTATAAACTTTGCGTATACAAAGTCACGGGGAGCTGCTAGTTTATTTATAAAGCCATATCGCGCGTGACAAATCACATGTGCGTTCGGCTCAACGATCACATGACCGTTTAACTATGCAACATTTGATTACTATAATTATGTAATGTAATCCTTATCATGTTGTTGGTATTATCTATAATTTTAGATATCTACATTGTTTCCTTGTTGCTACTTTCTGTGTGTCACCTGTTTGGGAAGACGCAAGTTATATTATTATGATGAGATTGATGATTGAGAATGAATTGATGTTAATTTTAAAGGGTTTTAGGCGAAACGAGGGTTTTAACGGTTCGGTATCCTAAAGGTTCGATGATTCTGTGTTCGTTTGTATGTATCTTTTTTTTTAAATTAAGCCTACGCTTTTATCTTATCTGTTCTACCATCAAAAGGCTGAAAAGATTTAAACCGTAATGAATAGTCATTTTTCATATCATTCAGAATTTGTAAGAAATAATAAAACAGAGCTTAATAAAATCTTCGTTCCGGTTTACAAAAAAAAAAAACTCTTTGTTTTTCGCATAAAATTTCGAAAATTGTGCTTCTATTATTTCGAAAATTTTACTTTTAAATTAAGAACGTTCTTCTTGACGTGCATTATTTTGAATTATCTATGATACGACTCCTTTACATACTATCTCTCTCTCTTAACTCGTTACTGATTGAATTATTTGTATTAATGCATTGTTAATCCCTTGTCACCACCGACCTCATTTCACTTAACACAGATAAATAGTGTTGTCCTATTTTAACAGTAATCAATCTCACGTTAATCTACGAACAATGGAACTAGTGTTGTGCTATCGGCCATTGTTTCTTAATTACTATAAAATGTCATACCTACTATTATCAATGTAGATAATGACAACAAATATTTTTGATGCTTAATGGTTTATTTTTTTATTTTAAAATATGATTTAATTATCTTCATTCTTGATTTAGAATAAATATCATGTACCTAATATTTTCATTTTTTTTTTTACTAATAAGATTTTTTTTTCTTGTGTTTGCTTTGTATGACATGTGTACGATATTGACCGGGGTCACATATTATGTCTTGATAACTATAAAAATAATACATATATAGTCAATTAACTATTGTGCAAAAGCATAGAATATGCAGCCTCGAGACTGAGTTAATATTTAAAAATTTTGCAAGAAGAAGAAAGACCAATGTTGATATTCAAATATTTACATTAGTAAAAAAAATTGAAAATGTAAGACGTATATTTGTTATTCTTATTCTAAACGTTTTATACCAAATTATAATAAATAATAATTCGGCCCTTTTTTAACGACGTTCTTGCAGCTGTGCTCAGGTCTTCCCTCAATGTGGGGTGGATAGGTTATACTTGGTCCATGGCTATATGTGGGTTGGTCGATTTCACATATCTTTCGAACTAGTTAAATTCTCAATAATTTAAATGTCTTCATGATGGTTTATTTTACTTTCTTGTTCTAATTACGTATGGTAAGCACGCGATGGCGGACTTTTTCGAAAACTTGCTAGGTTCTCTCAGACATGCAGGTTTTGAGGTATGACATGTGGTAATCATATTATCATAAATGAATCGCACATGAAAATATTAAGAGGTGCGAGAGCCAGGTTTTGAACCCGCTTCACTCGGTTGCGTTACATTCCCAAGCGAGCGCGCTATAACTAAAACACTGTAATACAAATATTAACTGTATGATAATTTTGGTTCAGATATATAGCAATAGTTCAACCAGCGGCACTACAGACAGCTTAGCAAGTTCCACTTCAGTTGCGCCGAGGAGAGGGAAGCTTGGTCTAGCGCTACTCATATCCGTATCGGAGCCGACTGATATGTAAGTTTCTATTGTTATATATATATCTTATTCAGTTCATACTTCTATGTCGCTAGATGACTCAATGGCCAATGCCAACTTAATTAAAGTGGAGTCTACGTGTACTAAACCCTTTATTTTAATACTAAAATGTTATCCACGCTTTGCTCGAGTGTCTTCTAAATGCAATGTAATTTCATCCAAATCCGTGTAGCCGTTTCAGCCTAAAGGAGTAACAAACGTACACACATACAAATTTTCGCATTTTTTATTATAGTGTGATGAGATTTCGTACAAAACACGATATATTATTGTTGAAGTGAAACTTCTTTAGAATCGTTGCAATTTGAAATTAGATGAAATGAAAATCCGATACTACAAACAAACAAACACATAAATATATAGGATTAAACCGGCGAGAGAATGAGATTGCCATTGACGTTGCCATGGTAACCGTTGTTATTGTCTGACAAATACTGTTATTGTCTGTCTCTAACGAATAATGTTATTGTCTGACAATATATATTATATTCTTTCCGTATATTATTTCTATAAATATATGGTTGTAATATGCCTAATTTGCCTTATTTAATTATTAATTTGGTTTAATTTAATTGCGATATTTGAGAAAGAAGTTTTACTTCAACCGCGTGTAAAGGTTAGCTGCACCCATTTTTTTAATTATATATAGACAACGTTAAAATTTTCTTTACTAAAAACGTGAACAAAGGTTTTATATGAAGTGTAATTTTACGCATCGCAGACTCTTGATAACGCTTAACGTTCGGATGTGAACTGGAAACATCTAGTAAAATTAAAATTGCGTCCTACTTCTCGATATACACGTGCAAAGTAATTAACTCTCATAGATAATTAATGTTTTAAATGAACTGTTTAATAGGCATTTTATATGGCAAGGATGTGGGGTTTGATTCTTTACAAGGGCTTATTCCTTTTCAATAGATCCGATAATTAGAAATACATATAGGTTATAATGACTTCAAACATTTGCACACGCATCGTACTTAATATTGAAGCTAACAAAAGTGTGTTACAATGGTTTTTTTTTCAAATCCTTGATAAAATATACAGATTTATATCATTTTCATATTTTAAACTATTTTTTTTATTAATTATCAAGTAAAAATATAAAAATATCTATGTATATACTTATATGTATACGTAGATATATATTACAAATGTATCTACGTATTCATAAATAATATACTTGAAAAGTATGCCATCACACGCTCAATTTATTAATTCGTCTTTTAGTTGTCAACATAAAAATGAACAAAAATAATGGCCCCATAAAAATATTACCTAAGAGCTATTTCCTTCGTCGTATTTTAAATTTAAAAATCATGTGCTCTCACCATAACAATGAAATCATGCAGACATTTATTGGCTGTAAAAATATCACAAACACAGAAAATAATGGAATTTTTATTGTACCATAACCTCTGTTTTGATGGAGTTAGGTGCTTTATTTATGTATTTTTATGAATGCAGTACCTAGTCGATGAAGAGAAGTTTTGCTAAATTTAAAGTTTTAGATAATACATCGAATTACTAATATAAATATGAAAGTTTGTATGTCTGTTACTGCTTTACGTTGAAACGGACAGACTTTGATAAGATTTGGTTGAAATTTAGTATACAGGCAATGACGTGGAGTAACAAATAGGTTACTGTTAGGCACTTAAGTCCTGGGTTCGAGTCCCGAGTCTAGTTATTCAGTCTTTCTCTTTAGATCAGTAACATTAAGTGTCGCGTCGATCCTGCGCGAGATTTCTCACCGCGAGTGTCGAATTATCGTCCCATCGGAATTTTAAAGTTAAAGGAATAGAGATTGAACTGGTGTCCGAGCGTACACTTTTACACTAATATCTGCTGCGCATCTGGCTAGTCTCAGTGAGATTTTCTGCCATGGCCGAAATCGGTCAGAAGGACAACATAATCATTAGTTATAGCATTTTTTTTGATTTTTGTAGGGATCTAGTTCGTCGGTGCATGGAACATTCGCCCCAACTGCAATCTTTAGTCTGTCGTTTACGAGTGGCGACACTGTCTGCGGGGTCGGGCAACGCGTTTGTATCAACCCTCCATAAAGCCGTCGGTGATGCTGCTAGATGGTAAGTGTAGTAATTTGCCTGTCTCGTTAGTCTAGTAGCTAGCATGTCCTGTGTTCGAGTCCTGGCTCGAGCCAATATGATTATAAAATGTTGTGTCATGAAATATTCTTGTAACGTTAAAATGTTTACCTAAAATATACACCTGATGTCTCACCTATCATGTCGAGTTGTTTCCTTAATGAAATATGGGAGTATAATTATGTTAGTCTAAACACACACGCATGCACGCACGCACGCATACACACACGCACACACACACACACACGCACACGCACACACACACACACACACTGCACTTTCTTATTGAGAGTGTGCGTTGTATATGATATTGGTTACAGGATATTAGTTGTAAATTACTAGAATAATGTCATGGCGAATATTTTTTTTGATATTTTATGGTTATCCCCATATCTATTGATTAAAAACATATTTTAATATATTTACAAAGAAATATAGCGTAATATATGTATGTTATGCAAAAAAGTGCGTTTGTAAAATTATACTAATACGGTAAAAACCATAAATATTAGTTGCGTTATATCTTGTTCATTTTTTTTAGTTATATACTCGTAAGTAAATTATACATACACAATACATACATATCATTTACGTATGTCGTTAAAACTATTAGGTCGATGGAAATCTCATTATACCTTTAAATCAATTGTAAAAAATCGATTCTATATTCGGTCACTATTTATTTCACATTTTTATAAATCGATTTAACACTATCACGCTCGATTATGCCTCATTTCGTTAAATAATCAATGGTTTTTAATAATTATTAGCCTTTCATATTATTCAGTTGAGTTCCATCGGTAATTGGTTGGACTGAAGCCAAATGTATCTACTTATAAATGTAGCATGGAATTTATTGTCACAACTCGGAAATCATAAAGTAAATATATAGTTGTATGGGAGTTTTCGTAAAAATCATTTGATATTACGCTCAGATTAAAGAATTTTATAAGAGTCCGCACAAAATAAATGGCACAGTCAATAATAGTAGCGTGTTTTGCTGTTTATGCTACTATTCTAGATTTTGCCGTACAGAACATTTACTTTCCTTAATGAGTAATTGGAATTTTATATATTACTAGGGACTCGCTCTCGCTTCGCTCGGGTTCGTCCCTAAGTTGATTCCGCATACGAAATTTCACCCCATTTTTACTCTCTTAGGGGATGATTTCCGGGATAAAAACTATCCTATGTCCTTCCCAGGATCTCAAACTATTTTCTTCTCAAGTTTCATCTAAATCGGTAAAGTAGTTTCAGAGCTTATTCGGCACACAAAAACAAAAAAAATATCTTTTTTCTTTATAATATTTATATAGATGTATAAGTTAAATGTCTAATGTACAATTTTTGAGAACAATATATTATGAATTACAAAAATAATACTATATTCTTTTGTATTTTTAAGCATCAGTTCTCTTTACCTTATAAGAAAGGTAAATATCATATTAGCTTTTTTTTTATAAAATTTAAAGAAGCTATTTTTAGCTATTTTTATTTATTAACGTTTATTTAATTATCACTCACTATATAAATTGTCATTGGTATACTGTTTTAAAACATATTGTTTGGCTTCATGTTTAGTTTTATGACATTCTATATTATACCTTAGTCTGAAGGTATTACGAATGATCGTATGTTTTTAACGAAAATTACTTTGCCACGTATATTTTTATAATATGTGAGAATTATTTAAATTAGATCCGTCAAGTTTTTTATTTACATCTTCGAACCTTTTATAGAAAGTAAAATTAACTGGTCTGTGCAAATTATTTTAACACTGACTAAAATAAAATTGTTTTGTTTTTTCGAACTCCTTTACAATTGTTTGCACATGAATTTCGTGATTTGGTCCTAATTAGTTATTGCAATACACAGTGTGTTATATAAATAGCCTTATATGTTGTTGAATTTTTTGAATTTTTTGAGCTTACGTCAAAATCTATTAATAAAAACTCTTTCGTATGCCTTTAAATTGTATTTAAAAAAATATATTGTAAATGGTAAAAAATCACCATAACTTATTTGCCTTTGAGCGTTATTGAGGTTCATTTGTTTGTCGGGTACAAAGTTTTCTCTTCGTATGAAGATGCAGGCATAATGAAGGGTTTTTATTGTAATTTTAAAAATTGATTTTGTTTATCTATTCTCTTATAGCTTTATTAAATAAAATATAAGTCTATAATTAACATTTACTTTACATTTTTCATAGGTTTCACTGATTTCAGGTTGTCGAACCTTATATACGGGCCGCGGTTACAACCGATGTGGTTGGATCTGGTCACGAGTGAACCACGCTTGTCCAACAAGATGGCGGATGCGTTGTTATCTGATTTATGTTCAGTTCTCACTGCTGGGGACACGAAGAACACTAATTTGTAAGTTTTTTTTATAAATTTACTAGCTATTTACGTGGTTTGGCTAGAGATCGTCCTTAGGTGCCTAAAAGTAGCCTATGTGTTACTCCAGGTCATAGTCTATATGTGTACCCACTAAATTTCGTACGATACCGTAAAGTTTCTAGGTGAAAGAGTAATAAACATATATACATACACACAAACTTTCGTATAAATATAACACTAGTATGATTGAAATTAAAATTTTTTTTACGATATTATATTTTTTTCGTTTTGACTTGTATGTACAAAGTACATACATACATGATACATACATACATATAGTAACTTATTCTTCATACATATTTGTTTCATATTTTATTACATAAGCATTGGAAATTCTTTGATTGATCTCTGATTGTTCTTGCATATTTATTTTATTTATTTATTTTAGGGAAACAAACAGCACAATATTACATAAATAAAAAATTATAAATAACAATAGGGTAACACATAAACCAATCATGTTTTCACAATGAAAGTAAAAAAAAAACAAAAAAGTTAAACACAACTGAAAAATTACAAAAAGAAACACTGATTAACATTAATAATTAAAAAATAAATAAAAATAAAAACCGACTTCCTACTACTAAAAAAAACCTTTAAAAATAAATAAAAATCGACTTCTAGGCACTAAAATGTAAAAAATAACTAAACGGGGGTTTTCATTTAGAATAGATACCTAATCAGATATTTTCGAAGTCGGTGCCAGCCGATGCAAAGCAAATCTAATATATTTCGAAACGTAAAATTACTTACAACATAAATTGATGTATAATATTTTAACTATTATAATTAGAGTTCATACCTAATCATATTTACCTATTAAATATTCATATCTTATAATATTGTTGGCCGTTGACTTCAAACGATTTGTTAAAAAAAAATTTGTTAATACATAATATGATTTGTTTCATACGTATTTGTGAATCACATGAAAATTCTTCAATAGAAAACATATTTCGAGTGTAAAAAGCACGTGATGTTGTAAGGTGATAAAAATATTTCGTTTCGTTTTAATTAAGTGTTCGCACGTCATGTTACGTGTAACGTGACGTACTTTATCTTTGAGCAGTTTAAATACATAAATATTGAATTATTTGTACATATATTATATACGGATTTGTGTTACAATCTTCAAGGTACTCGTAGCTGTATGCTTATGCTATTACTCCTAAAATGCTTTGCAGGCACAAACTGACAAGCTTGTTATTGAAGCTTTGAGATCGTGTAATTAAGTAACATATGAACGTAATGTGGTGTAGCTATGTTGAAATAACGCACATTTTTAATTTTATTCATAGCTAGCGACTCACCCTCGCTTCGCTCAGGTTTTTCTATAGGTAGGCAATGTAATCGCACAATACAAATCTTTGAATTTCTCGGTTTTTCTGTACTATAATAGGCATGTATTATACATATAATGCTTCCTCTTGAATCACTCTACCTATTGCCGAAAACTGCATTAAAATCTGTTCAGTAGTTTAAAAGATCTAAGCGAACAGACAACGGAAGCGACTTCATTTTATACTATGTAAAGATATAATAAGTATAAAGTACGTAATGTAAAGAGAAAAATAGAAAAAAAATATTGAGCTTCAAGCTGTGTATCATGAAAAACTTTAGACACCGGCATATTTAAACAATCATTTGATAATCCATAGTTAATCTCGTGTCAGTTGTAAAATAGCGATTACACTGACATTTTCTTGGACCACGGCCAAAATACTAACTAGCATTGCACACATTCTGAATAAAAAAATATATAAAATACTTATATTTGGACGTACCTTTCGCTCGATAATTAGTTACACGTGCGAATAAAATCATTGTCAAGTGCAAGCGTTTTTTTTTATTTTTAGCGTTGAATGTAATTTTGGTTGGTATTTTTAAATGTCATTCATGTTTACGTATTTTTCACGTGATAGAAAATTACGTTATTTTCAATGGACCGACGCTTACAAAGTGTTCAAATTAGTTGTGTAACCTATATGAGTGTGCTCGCTAATTTCATTTAGAAAGTAATTAAAGATCAGTACATATTGTAGTATATGTTAGGGGAAAAGTATGAAATATTTTATCTTATTATATTAAACGACCAATTCTTGTGTATATAAAAATTTATTTCGTGAATCTCGGAAACAGCTCTAACATTTTTTTTGTCTTTTGCGAAAAATATCAAGCGATGCTCGGTCGGCCAGGTACCTCCTCATTAGATGACCATTTGAATTAGCTAATGTTTATTTATATATTATATGCCTCAGTGGTGTAGTGGCTAGCATGTACGGCTGCACACTCGGAGGTCCCGGGTTCGAGTCCCGGGTCGGGCCAAGTTTAGTTATTGAGTCTTTCTGTATAGTAAGTCTCAGTAACAGCCCGGAGTTGGGAAGTTGGCGGTGTTTCACCCCCGTGCCTCGGAGAGCACGTAAAGCCGTCGGTCCTGCGCCTTAACTCTCACTGGTCGTGTCTCGTGTCGTCTCACCGGAGTATGAGAGTGATAGGAATAGAGAGTGCACTTGTGTCTGCGCGTACACTTGAGCACTATAATATCTCCTGCGCAGTTGGCTAGTCTCAATGAGATTCGCCGCCGTGGCCGGAATCAGCTAGGAGAACATCATATATTATATAATATTTTAAATGTCTCATCATTTTCGTATATTCTTTAAAATAAAGTGCAGAAGTTCTGCGATGTCAAAAATATTTTAGGCCACAATTATATACAAACAACTAGCAGTACCTGCGTTCAAGCTTCCGATATAAACATAGCTTTACAATATTATATGTCTGCTCGATTTGTTGACATTTATTATTACTGCTGCGCTCCCTTGGGTAGTAGCGTGACGACATATAGGCTATATATAGCCTTCCTCAATACATTTGCTATTTAATGCAAAAAGGATTTTTCAAATCGGAGTAGCAGTTTCTGAGATTAGCGCGTTCAAACAAACTAACTTTTTATAATATTATAATATAGATTATAATTAAGTTATCTTACAACTCTTATTTTTATCTATACATATACAATGATAGATTTTTTTCTTTCCAGTTTTATCAGCACCCTTCTTACTTACGTCCTAACACATCACCTGGGGTGGGTCACTACAGTCAGTCCGTACGACACGATCGACCCACAAAAGTTTCCATCAGAGCACATTGATACCCGAAGGCCGTATAACGCGCTATGGGCACAGTTAACTGACCTATGCGGTAGTATCGGCTATCCTCCTAGATCCGCCAGAACTATTATAGCAGGATCAAAAAACGTACAATTCGTAAATAGACTCTTGGCCGTTCTAACATACTTTGTACGTTGTGGTGATGTGAGGAAAAACGACTTCAAGTATCAAGACTGCTTGCTCGATGAACCGAAGTTAGTGAATGTGCAAACTGAGTTGTTTAGAACGAAACGTGATGTGGAAGTGTGTACAAATCTGAATGTGCCATCGTTCAATAAAAATAGTGGCAGTGACAGTACGCTCGCAACCAGCTATGTTAGTTTAAAAAAATCAGCTACGTTAATAGATTTGAATCAAAAGCTCTCTAATTCGGATTTCGCAATGGAAAGCGGAAGTAGTGAGAACCAAAGCAAATTGCGGAGACGCCCTAGTATGATGATGCCGTTGAAGGATTCGTCGGACTCGAGCCCGAACTTATCGTCCGAAGAATGTGAGACAAAAAAGGTCTTGTTTGTACTTGGAGATGACGAAAAGCTTGTGGGACTAAAGAACAAGTCAAATGGAGGGAAAAGCGTTAAGAAATCATCAAAAATATGCAACGAACCGCTTGATCAAGAGAAATTAAATAAAAAATCGTGTTCCAACGAATGCGATAAAGACAAACTGGACAGCCCGTCCAAATGCTGCGGTCAAACACTTCAACATTCCAAACCTATAAAACATTCCGGTTTTAAGTTCGAGTTCGACAAATACCCACAGATAGTCACTAATTATATGAAGAGCAAAAACTTAGAAATATTAGATAGGCATTACATAGGGAAGCCGGGGAATTTGAAGTTAGATAATTTTCAATTCGACCCGACTTTCGTGCCACCAATCCAAGAAGAGAGATGTGAAACGTGCTACAAGTGTCAATTAATGGAGTCAATGTTGCAAACCCCTACTAATGCTTCCGAAATGGAGTATATGAATGATATGCCTAGACAGTCGGAGCCACAATTCGCACAAGAGACGATAGTTAAAGAACCTGTGACCCATCGTGAGTTATCACCAAAAACGTTTGTTCATAAACGAAAGGAAAATACGTTAGTCGTTAACGTTAAAAGTAAAGGTGAAGATCCGGTGGGAGGGAATGATAGTAATATGTTGCAAGTGAAACAAGTGATTGAGTTTCCTCTACGGCAAGTTTCTGCAAGTAAGCTGCAAAGTCAAGTGCGATCGGGATATGATGCATCGCTTCTAGGCGGAATCACAAACCACTATGTACCTGATTTAGTTTTACAAGGTAAGGTTTTTATTAGTTTCTATTGTTTTAGTATCTAATAGTAAAAATTTTGAGATTACTTTATTTCCGAATTGCCAAGCAATATTGCGTATTTAGATTTGATGATTTGAGTTTAAATCAGTCTATAAGATTATTATTTTGTCTTAATTCTTATTACCGTACTACAAATGTGATTTCTGATAGTATAATCTAAAAGGAAGCAAATTTTAAGTATATTTAAGATAAGATTAAAAACAGAATTTGCTGTAAGTTACCTAATATTTTAGATAAACAGAAAAACATATTTTATTTTGTTGCTAGATAGATTTGATATAATACAACTATAACGTATATATGTATACGTATATACCAAAAAATAGCACACTTATATAACAAAGTGAATCCGTTGAACTGGTTACAGAACAAATAATTAATATTCATATGCGAAGGAGCAGACAAAACTTATTTATTTTATGAATATTTAATTGTGTATATGAACAAATTTTCTGATCTCTAGATCGAATACGTTATTCCTACCATATATTAGAGATCGAAGCGATTCGTGGTACTGGATTCGAGTTCTGGATAGGGCTAAAAAAAGTTTTAATTTAGTGTAAATAATAATAGAGAATTAGGAGGATGTTAGTAGTTACAACCCCATATCGAATCGGAGTGCGTAAAGCTATCGCTCCTGCGACTGATTATTCATTGCGAATGGCAGAGTTATCCCATACGTCTGCACTAAGTCTGCACTAGAATATCTCGCGTGCAGGCTAGAGTTAGTCTATTGAGTTAGTGTATTGAGCCCTTTATGCGGAAGATCGCCATGAAAATCGGTTAGGAGTACGATAATTATACATATTTTATATTTAATTCTTTTTTTTTTTAAGGAACCCTGGCAAGTCCAAGCACGTGGGAGGCGGATCTTCGACGGGATTTGGATCTCACATCGTACCTGAACAAAACGTTGGACTCGCCAGTGCAGGCGGTCGCTATAATCGGCGATACGAACACATGGTAAGTTGTCTTTACCGTTAATAATAGTATGGTATGTCTCTATTTATGTTAAGTAATATTAGTAATGTTCGTAGTTTATTTTTCATTGTCGAGCGATAATGTTACATTTAGTTTTATTAATTCTTCATTAAGTGCGCCTGCGACTTATCTGTCAGTGAAGACAGGAAAATCTGCGTAATTGTGGTAGATAGGAAACACGTCGCGGACCGCAAATATTAGCCAACGGCCACATGCGGCCTGCGGGCCGTGCTTTGGACAGCCCTACATAGCTTACTGTGCAACTCTGTCCATCAGGGAGGTGCGTCTCGTGGGGCGCGAGTGCGGGTGCGGCGCGCTGTCCCCGCTGGTCGGCGGCATGCTGGACGCGCTGCCGGCCATGCGACACGCGAGAGTGCCTTCTCATCAGGTACTTATATGTAATATATACTAATATTATGAAGAGGCTAAGTTTGTGAGTTTGTAAGTTTGTGAGCTTGTGATGTTGTAGGGGGTAATCTCTGGATCTACTAAACCGATTTATATGAAATTTGGTAAGAAGATAGTCTGAGACTCTGGGAAGGACAAAGGATACTTTTTACCCCGGAAATCTTCCTTTAAGGAAGAAAATGGGGAAAAGTTGATGGTGTCATCTATACTCCCGTAATATGATAAATTTGAAAGTCTATTTGTTGGTCTGTCTCATCGACGTGATTTATATGGACCGAAGAGTGACATGGATCAATTTTACCCCGTCAGTGTTGCCATGACTAAATTAAAATATTAATAACATTATTTTTTTGTTCCAGTGTCTTCTATACTTAGAAAGCAAACTCCGTGAACTCTGCGTGTTGTCAAAAACACTAGCAGATATGCTCATGTCAACCGACTTTTGTGACATCGCAACACTTACTAAGTCATTGAATATCGACGTCAATGACGTCCCATTACTGCTGGCCGTCGCTACAACACACACGCCGCAAGTTGCGACCAGATATGGTATTAGTTATAGGTGAATATAGGAAAAAAGAATATAGGAAAAGATGGTTCTTGATAAAGAAAGGTACTAAGTGAGATATGAGCTTTCAATTCGTAATTGGATGATGAAAATGGTCATGTTTTCGGAAGTATTTAGTAATACAAAAACAAACCTATCCCACGGGAACCGTACATTTTTCCGGGATAAAAAGTAGCCTATGTGTTAATCCAGACTATAATCTATCTCTGTGCCAAATTTCATCCAGATTCGTTCAGCCATTCTGGCGTGAAAGAGTAACAAAAATTCATACTTACAAACTTTCACATTTATAATATTAGTATAGATAGATTTTAAATTTTATTTATAAATATATAGTTAATGTTTAACAAAACAAATATTGATAGAAATAAAGTGTGAGTAAATGAATTATTTATTTAAAATTTTATTCTATTACTGAAGGTATATGAAATGTAGTGACATTTAAATAATAGTCTAACCTTTGATTAAATACGAATCATAAAAATCGGTTATTAAAATTTAAAATGTAAAGTTACATATAAAAAATTTGGATATCCGGACGTTTTTATGTAAGTCGGACAAAAGGTGATTGTTAGTCTTGAATGAAATATATTTTAAATCAGAGTTTACTACATCGTTTGTGTGCATTCATACAAATCAAAGCTCATATCTCATGAAATGTACCCGCATATAAAGAAATAACAGTATTTTATTATATAATGGTACCTGTGGTATCTACAATAAATATTTTTTATGGAAGTTCATCCGCTTTCTCCGGTAGGGTATTTGATACACGAAAACTTGTAGCTTTGCAACTATTATTAGATTTAGGTAATATATATGATAATAGAACAATACGCCATTTTGTTAATGATCAATTAAAATTTGTAGAAAAACATATGTAACTTGCTTTGGAACAGTTCGTATAAAATATACAGTATTCAGGCTAATAATAAATAATCTATAGTGCGAATATTTTAGAATATGAACACAGAAAAGTTTATATAAAACTATTATTATGTCTTGGCATTATTGAACACTGTACACTCAAAATTCATATAATTTTAAGTCTCCAAAGAGATGTTTTTTTTTAATTAATTGGTATTGTTGATTTCAGTCCTGACTCTGAAATCAAATACGCTACCATAATTTAAAACAAACGCACACTATAAACGCAAAGCAATAGTAAAACCTATTTTGCCTAATCATAATGTATGTTAGAGAAACAAAAATAATTTATTCAATTGAAATATAAGTATGGAGAGATGTGTTAAAATATAAATTTCATTCCACATACTGTAAATAATAAATTAAGAACGCTTATTTTAAGCTCTAAATAGTTTTTTTCAAACTCTCTTAGTACCTAATACCCGCTCAATCAGTGTATATCTTGATGTTTAAAAGTTTTAGAATTGTCATAGTATAAAAGTCCATATAGTAACTATAGTAATTTGATCGCCTTTGATGTTAACGGAAAACTAGCTTAATGCAAAGGTTGTTAAAAATACCAACATTTATTGTCGTGGGGTTTCGCACATCTCCCTCAGTGGGTGTGAGGGAACGGCTTCAGGGCGTAGCCCTCTGGTCGTGGGTTCTTCTGCCGCTCACTAGTAAGGACGCCTCCCTAGTAGGCCCATTAAGGATCCTTTAGGCATCGGAGTTAATGGTTTCAAAGTAAAAATACCACCCTCCCAAATTATAACCGCCAACCCTAAAGTTATTTCCCGACTCTCATATAAAATTACGTATGGCAGTCGGGTGCGTTTCACCCGCGTCATCCGCACGATTTCTCTGTCGAGACGATTGTATAGATTAGTAGACTGCGGTTATTGTTGTATATTGAAATAGTTATTTGATATCGTAGAAATTGTGCAATGCTGGCTGCGAATAAAAAAAAATATTTCATTACAATATGTTGAAATTATGAGAATAATGTATGCTTAGCATTTGCAATGTTATAACTAATTCTGTTCAATTATATATCTTTTAAAAATGAATAAATTAATTTATTTTGTAATATTTCCTTTAGAACATGTAAAAAATATTTATTATAATATATTGTTACATTTTTAATATATAATATACCTTTAACAATATTGATAACAAAATATTAAACTGTGATTTGAAAAATTAAATTATATTTATATGCCATTTATATCGAGTCTAAGTCGGTAATATAGATAATGTTTCTATTTATTAACAATTTTGGTCACATAGTGTACTAAAAGTAATTTAATGAGCCTCAACATAACCTTTTTAAAGGTCAAATACAGAAAATAAGTATATAAACAAAATGCCTTAACCCAATTGGAAAAATGTAATTTATTTGAATAATTAAAAAAAATACACTAAATCTATAAAGTAAATAATGGCAATAGAAATATATAAATAAGCAATATTTTTCATTTGATAAAAATCATTCGAGATGTTTGTAAAATGTTCTTTTTTATTTGACCGGAGTATAATAATTACAAAATTTGTTGTATATTTATTGTATTTAATATGAAATTTTTACTCTGTAGTATTTGACGAGCAGCTTTTTCAATATATTGTATACTAGACCCCACACACTTATCAGAAATCAGCATCATTTGTCGAGCAGACGCGAACTAAACATAGTATCAGATTCGCTGGAGCGAACTTTCTGACAGGTGTGCGGAGCAGTACCAGCGGGCGTCAGAAATTTTCTGACAGAAAAAAATCTTGTATTATGCGGCCGGCCTATGGCAGCTTTTCTACATCAGATAGTGTGTGAACATTTTGATTAATGTGATGTTTGAAAATCGAATTATTGTATTTAATATAGATTTTTAACGCACATAAGTAGGTACATGGCTTCCAGATTCGATTTCCGAATTTGTTTCTCAAAGAGTAATATGAGGATTTTTCATGCAAATCCAGGAATTATTTAAGAAAATAAATTACTAAAACCACTGATATAAAATAAAAACATAGATACAACTTTTCTAAAAAAAATATCTAGTCAAACCAAAGAATAAAATTCAAAAATCGAAAGCTCTAATTGTGTAAACACAAATTCGATTTTATTTTGTTATCCGAAAAGCAATGAACGAAAGAGATAAAAAAAGCGCAATTAAATTTCGAATTATTTACTTATTTTTGAGACGCTAGTTGTGAATCTTAAGTTTTTTGTATATAAGACTAGAACGTATGTATACGCAATAAGAACGGTTTCAAAATAAGTGGATAATGATGCCCAAATTTGTAAAACGAATTTGAAAATCGAATCGTAAGCCAGTTTTAATATTTTATTATTTAATATTAAAATCGATTTAAAACTATTCAAATCGATTAAAAATATTCGATACACATCACAATGAAGCAAGATTTGTTACATTTTAAGTCTGTGGGTTACTCGAACTTAGTACGCTTTTAATCTAATATCACAATAATTTATAATAAACATATCTCTATATGAATACATAGATAAAAATGAAATGCAGACTTATTTAGTATTTATAATGATGTAATCTATGATGTAAAATACTCCTTTATACTAAAGTACCTAAATATAATCAATGTAATGAAGGTGATATGTTAAATAATATAATTGTGATTCAATTTGAAATATTTTTTTATACTTAGCAAATTAATAAATTATTTTTTTTCATATTGAATACTGTTTTATTGATTTTTAAATATCCATAAATGATTACGGTATTGAGCTATGGGTCAACCTTAATGTGCCACAGCATAAACACCGATTCCATATTATATTTTGTAACATAAAAGTTATATATTTTTTTATACTGACTTCCATCTCCTATATTTTATTTTAATTATATTTTAAAGATGAATTTTCAAAAGTATTTTCTTAGTGCTAACCTTATTTTACAAGGAATTCCTATACAAAATCACTTGCTCATATAAAACAAATTAGTGTGTTGTCAGTCGAGTCAGTTTCGAGAGTAATATATGTCACAGCCATCCAGCTTAATAAGCTGTTTGATTAACAGCCTAGGCTCTTAACTATACTAGCGGCACGCTATGATGGCCGGTTTGACACATTACAATAGTGATGTGGAATGTCAATTTATTCTCGAACAAAAAACAATTAAGTTTTGTTTTTGTACCTGATTAAATAGGTTTAATAAAACAAAAATGTATATGTTTATTATTTCATTATTTGAACGAACTGAATATTTGAACGAAAATGAATATACATACTTTATATGCACACAAGAAACATATGAATACAAAAGATACCAAAAAAGGTGCCACAAAAGGCCATAATTAATCAGATTCGTCCATACTACTATTTTCACTGTCGTCACTGCTATCATCACATACATTAATAATTATATGTTCGTTTTCTATAATATTATCTATTTTCACATCTCTTTCATAATCTTCCCTTATTAATTTAACAGTTCTATTCACAACCTTTTCCCAGTCTCCTTTAGTCACATGTTCACAAGCTTCTTCTAATAATTTTAGCATTTTTTTTGTGGTAAATGGGGGTTCTGTATTGTGTCTTGCAGCATATCCCTTAATTTGAGCCCACACCAACTCAATCGCATTATACTCACAATGGTAAGGCGGTAACCGTATAACTCTGTGCCCATGTTCTAATGCTATTTCGTCAATGACGTATCGGATCTTGGTTGGTTTGTTTTCTTTAAAAGACGTACTAATTCCGCTTTTAACATATTCATGTTTGCATCTACGCCATTTTTACGAAGCCATGCGACGATATTCAGCTTTCTTTGGGATTGGGCAGGTGGCTTGTCAATTTGCATCGAGTGGTATGGGGCGTTGTCCATAATTATAATAGATGGTTCAGGGAGGCTACACAACATTGAGGTAAAACCATTCAGTAAACTTTTTCTCCATTCATGTCTTCATGATAGTCTCCAGTGGTTTTTGACGCAAAAGCCATGAGAGAACCTTCGACAAACCCGTTGATGGTTCCGGCGTGACAAATTATAAGTCGCGATCCTTTTCCTACAGGAACTTTTGGAAGTAGATGCTGCTGTGTCATCGTTCCAAGAACGG